CAGCCACCACCCTCCTCCCCTCCGCCCCCCATCAGTGAGGAGCCCCAGGAGTCCCCCCTACCCCGCCGCGGCAGGCTGGACTCTGCCCCCCCGTGTAGGTACCCCCTCCCTGCCCTCGGCGCCCCCCCCAGCCGCCACCCGTCCAGCGAGCACCTGGACATCCTGTCCTCCATCTTGGCCTCCTTCAGCTCCTCTGTGCTCACCCCCCCAGCCCCCTCCTCTGCACAGGGACCCTCCCCCTCCCCGCCCCACTCCGCCACCTCCCACAGCATCTCTGAAGTGTCCCCAGACTCTGAGTAAGTCCTGAACTCAATCACTCACTCACCTTCATCAACCTGCTGCCTTTTCTCTTCACACTCCTGCTCTGCTCTCTTTCTCTCACTTTCCTCACGCATCCATCTTTTTGGTCCTCCCTCTTTTTGTTCATCCCTCTTTTTGGTCATCCCTCTTTTTGGTCCCCATCAAAGATGTGGTGATTTGGATTCTAAATGTGTCATAGACTACATGTCAGGAGATTTATGTAGCATTTATCACAGTGATGTTATTTTCCCTTGTCACTGATTGTGGTCTCTCTTGCCTCTTCAGAGTCAACAGAAGTGAAGGACAGTCTTGATGACACCCTCCAAATCCCACAATGCATGTCTGTAGTGGGGTTACCATGGACTGCATGGGGTAGGGCAGAGGTCAAGGAGCCCCTGGACTGCTGAAGCACTTTGGGATACTGGAGAATATAAGTGTTGAAGGAAGGCAGAGACAGTGAGAGGGAGTTTGGAGGTGCTTGGGATGGTGCTGTTGTTAAGTATTTTCGGTCACAAGTAGCAACCAGTATGGGGAGGAGGGCTATATGATTGAAACAGAGGGGTGGCTACCTCAGCCACTACGTTTTAACGAACTTCGATCCTCAGATTTCAACATGAACACAAAGATCGTAATCGATCTGCTAAGAAAAAGATGAACCTGTAGATAAACATTTTATACATTTTGTATCTTTTTCATCAGAGATGAAAAAATATATATCTTGTGATGTTTTGAGAGATTGTGTCCATGTGCGGTTGTGAACGAGGTGTGAATGGAATCTGTTGCTATGGGCGATAGCCCTAACTCAATCCCAAATTTCACTACCGTCATCCCGAAACCTTTCCTCAAACCTGTCAACTATGTGTATAAAACTAGGGACAGGGGTTGGTTAGTGTTGATTGGATGAAATTATGAGACGTGATAGGATGAGGAAGATGTTGGGGGCGGGTGATTGTAAATAGGAAGGAATTCTAGGAAAGCGAGATTTGATAGAACAAATGATTGTGAACAAGAAAGAAAGCAGATGCTAGGCTTGATGGCTTGATTATCTCCTCATTCTTTAGACCGAATTGTTCTGTTAATCCAAGACCCACTGCATTTGAATGTCGATCATCTATTCTACAGCATCATATATCGCTCTGTGCTACTATATATCACAAACAAAACATATCAGTCAAAAAAAGTATTATATCCGGCACGGTTACATATCTAACGGTTTCTCTGCCTGAGGATATTTGGTCCATTTAAATGTAAAAAATCCTCTGTTGGGAAAAGGGTCACGTATACATCTGGGGTGTGAGACATAAAGAGAGACCACCTTTAGGTTAGCACTAAAAGCCCTAAAGTAGTGTTAAATGTAGGCTCTGAGATGAAGGCAGATCAGAGAGGAAGAGGAGTTGGTAGAGGAGTGAGTCACCTGAGCACCAGTTAGTCCAGGACCTTAAAAGGAGAGAACTCATAGCACATGTAATAAAATACTAAACAGACAAGCGGAACAAAAAAAGGTCAAAAAAGAGAAATGTGTGAAGATGACAGAAGGAAACGAGGGAAAAGTTGCTCCTCATCATCAGAGGAAGGAGGGATGAAAAGACAGATTTATTGAAAGAACCCGACTTGTCTCACACACCGACGGTGTGCAAATCTCTTTTCAACTACCTGCTGTAATATCATTTCATGTCTTTGGGATGTGGTATGTTAATATAAATGTGACACTTTAATTGCCAAAAAATCTACCCAGGGTCCCCCCAATATCCATCCTTACCCATGTTCCAGCTATGTTTAACTGCTCCAGTTATTTAGCTATTGGTCAGTTCTTTTTTCACATGATTTATTATTGCAGTACCTTTAACTTGTACAGACATAAGATTAATTTTATTTATGACTATTTATCATATTTATTACTTTGTAATATTGTGTGAGAGAATGTAATTTAAAAGCGAGTACGCAGCAGTATTTGTTCAAATGTTTTTTTATTTTTTACATGTAATGTTTCCTATGGCCTGACTCTCCCACTGTGACAAAATGCATTGAGAGAAAAGAAAGAGTGAGAGGACAAGAGTGAAGAGGAAAGACATTGAAGTGTGATGATGAAAGGATAGAGAGAGAGGTTGGGATGGGGGACTGTCTTTGTCAGTTTGTTTATTCTGGGGTATGTGCTATCCCGTCAGCTTGGGGGGAATTTGAAACAGTTGCTCCTCAGTTACCGTGGAAACCATACAAGAGAAATGTTGCACATTAAAAAAAGAACTATTCCTAACAAGATGTGTTGTTTTCTGTGAGTGACATTCCCTGATGAAAACAACTCAGTGTTAGCAGAGACCAGTTTTGACAGTTTGTTTCCAGAGGCTCTTCTCTCTTTCAGGTATTTTTATTTGCCAGGTGTCTTTTCATATTCAGAGATCTCCACCAGCCCATTACAACAAAACTCCCCCAGATTCTGAGCAGCAATGAAAAGGAATGCTAAAACAAAGATCACAAAAACCTGAAACTGTCAAAAACTGAAACTCTTTCATAAAATAAGAGCAATAGAAATGTTTTTAAAAAAGTCAAATGATTTGATCGTGATCATCGTCCTCCATGTCCTCGCTACTAGAGGACGGTCGTACCTCTTCCCCCATCTTCTTCAGCTTAGCCTGATAGTATCTATTTTTTAGCCTGTAGGCCTTCTCTTTCTGCCTCACCGCCTGTCTCTTATCTTCTAGAACCTTCTGTTCCATCTGTAGAAGCCTCATCCTCTGCTCATGTTCCAGCGCAGACAGTTCCAACATGCGCAGCCCATACCGTGGGTCCTCCGCACCTCGCACTGCCGCCAGAGAGGTGAGGGGTCGCATGTCGGGCAGGTCAAAGTTCACAGGGCGAGAGGTGAGCAGGCTGGAGGATGAGGCGGATGGGATGGACGGAGAAGTGCAGGAGGGGGACGTCCCAGACCCAGTGGATCCACTGTGGGTGAGAGTGGAGGCATTGGGCTGGCTGGTGGAGGGGGCCCAGAGGGGTCCACCACTTCCTGTTAGTGCTGTGAAGGAGGTGATGCCGATACTCATGGCTACCTGGTCTCACACTCCTGGGGAAGACATGGCACTGGGTTAGATTTCAAATGTACTGTCAGACATTCTGCTCTTATAATAGAAGCGCTTTCAGTTAATAATGAAATATATTGACATTTTCATATGTAGATCATCATACAGTCTATGGAGATGGTGCCGGAGAAGATGGCTGCCGTTTTACAGCCCTCTAACCAATTGTACTATTATGTGTGTTTTTTCGCGTTATTTGTAATTTATTCTGTACATAATGTTTCTGCCATCGTCTCTTATAACAAAAAAGAGCTTCTGGATATCAGGACAGTGATTACTCACCTCGTAATGGACAATTTTTTCTTCAACGAGTCGGACGCGAAGGATATCCTACAGACACCCGACAAGGCCCAAATCTCCGTCATTTGCAGGAGAAAGAGACAGAGATATCGTGGACGTAGGTCGGGGTGCCTTGTAAGGATCCGACGGCGAGCGAGTAAACTGCCTCTTCCATCAATCCTATTAGCCAATGTTAAATAATTTGAAAATAAATTAGATGACCTAAGATTACGGTTATCCTACCAACGGGACATTAAAAACTGTAATATCTTATGTTTCACCGAGTCGTGGCTGAACGACGACATGGACAACATACAGCTGACGGGATATACGCTACATCGGCAGGATAGAACGGCTGACTCCGGTAAGACAAGGGGTGGCGGTTTGTGTATATTTGTAAACAACAGCTGGTGCACAAAATCAAATACTAAGGAAGTCTCGAGGTTTTGCTCACCTGAGGTAGAGTATCTTATGATAAGCTCTAGACCACACTATTTACCAAGAGAGTTTTCATCTATATTTTTCATAGCTGTCTATTTACCACCACAAACCAATGCTGGCATTAAGATTGCACTCAATGAGCTGTATAAGGCCATAAGTAAACAGGAAAACGCTCATCCAGAGGCAGCGCTCCTAGTGTCCGGGGACTTTAATACAGGGAAACTTAAATCCGTTCTACCTAATTTCTACCAGCATGTTAAATGTGCAACCAGAGGAAGAAAAACTCTAGACCACCTTTACTCCACACACAGAGACGCATACAAAGCTCTCCCTCGCCCTCCATTTGGCAAATCTGACCATAACTATATCCTCCTGATTCCTGCTTATAAGCAAAAATTAAAGCAGGAAGCACCAGTTACTTGGTTAATAAAAAAGTGGTCAGATGACGCAGATGCTAAGCTACAGGACTGTTTTGCTAGCACAGATTGGAACATGTTCCGGGATTCTTCAGATAGCATTGAGGAGTACACCACATCAGTCACTGGCTTCATCAATAAGTGCATCGATGATGTCGTCCCCACAGTGACCGTACGTACATACCCCAACCAGAAGCCATGGATTACAGGTAACATCCGCACTGACCTAAAGGGTAGAGCTGCCGCTTTCAAGGAGCGGGACTCTAACCCGGACGCTTATAAGAAATCCCGCTATACCCTCCGACGAACCATCAAACAGGCAAATAGTCAATACAGGACTAAGATTGAATCGTACTACACCAGCTCTGACACTTGTCGGATGTGGCAGGGCTTGAAAACTATTACAGACTACAAAGGGAAGCACAGCTGCGAGCTTCCCAGTGACACAAGCCTACCAGACGAGCTAAACCACTTCTATGCTCGCTTCGAGGCAAGCAACACTGAAGCATGCATGAGAGCACCAGCTGTTCCGGATGACTATGTGATCACGCTCTCCGTAGCCGATGTGAGTAAAACTTTTAAGCAGGTCAACATTCACAAGGCCGCAGGGCCAGCCGGATTACCAGGACGTGTTCTCCGAGCATGTGCTGACCAACTGGCAGGTGTCTTCACTGACATTTTCAACATGTCCCTGACTGAGTCTGTAATACCAACATGTTTCAAGCAGACCACCATAGTCCCCGTGCCCAAGGACACTAAGATAACCTGCCTAAATGACTACCGACCCGTAGCACTGACATCTGTAGCCATGAAGTGCTTTGAAAGGCTGGTCATGGCTCACATCAACACCATTATCCCAGAAACCCTAGACCCACTCCAATTTATATACCGCCCCAACAGATCCACAGATGATGCAATCTCTATTGCACTCCACACTGACCTTTCCCACCTGGACAAGAGGAACACCTACATGAGAATGCTATTCATTGACTACAGCTCAGCGTTCAACACCATAGTGCCCTCAAAGCTCATCACTAAGCTAAGGATCCTGGGACTTAACACCTCCCTCTGCAACTGGATCCTGGACTTCCTGACGGGCCGCCCCCAGGTGGTAAGGGTAGGTAACAACACATCTGCCACGCTGATCCTCAACACGGGGGCCCCTCAGGGGTGCGTGCTCAGTCCCCTCCTGTACTCTCTGTTCACCCATGACTGCATGGCCAGGCACGACTCCAACACCATCATTAAGTTTGCCGACACACAACAGTGGTAGGCCTGATCACAGACAACGATGAGACAGCCTATAGGGAGGAGGTCAGAGACCTGGCCGTGTGGTGCCAGGATAACAACCTCTCCCTCAACGTGACCAAGACAAAGGAGATGATTTTGGACTACTGGAAAAAAAAGAGGACTGAGCACGCCCCCATTCTCATCGACGGAGCTGCAGTGGAACAGGTTGAGAGCTTCAAATTCCTTGGTGTCCACATCACCAACGAACTATCATGGTCCAAACACACCAAGACAGTCGTGAAGAGGGCACGACAAAGCCTATTCCCCCTCAGGAGACTGAAAAGAGGGTGGGCCGGACACTGAATGGACACCGGGCCGGGGGGGTGAGGGCACTGGCGGTCAGTGAAGGAGGGGAGGGCCAGGGTAGGTGGGTGGGTGGGTGGCCACCGGGGGGCGGCAGATCGAGGGGTCCGGCTATGGCAGGTGGGGGGTGAGGAGGAGAAGGGGGAGGGGAATGCTGAGCGAGGAGAGGGGGAGAGCCTGGTGGACCTGGGCTTCCAGGGCCAAGGTGTGCCAAAGGTAGTGGGTGGGGTGGGGGATGGGCACTGGAGCAAGGGCAGGGTGGTGGTCAACACAGACCATGGGGAGGTCTACCTCTATGAAGGGGGGTGTTGGGATCTCCTGTGGGAGGAGGTCCTGAGTTGCAGTCCAACTGTGTGATGGAGGTGTTGAGGGTTATGGGTTGGGGGTCTGCTGCATCCAGGGAGGGGCTGTGTGCTATAGGCAGCCTCAGTGGAGGGGTGCAGGTCTTCCCCATGTCCCAGCCTGGCGCAGGGGTGTTGTCGAGGGCAGGGCCAGGAAAGGTCCACAGTGTGCTGTGGGTGGGGCAGGCAGAGGGACAGGGGATACCTGCTGGCGTCCGGGGCAGAGGGGCTAGTCTATCGTCGGCAGGTGGAGGTAGAGATGAGAGACACAGGACTGGCTCTAAGGGAAGAACCACTCTCTCTGTCCTCCCCTCCTGCCTTCCTGTGCAAAACGCTGGCTCACTGCTGTAGTTTACCTCAACCGTCCACAGGGGGCACTGTGGGTATGTGGAGACAGGAGAGGATCACTGCTTCTTTTTGAAGAGAGAAAACACCAGCAAGAGAAGAAGAGGGGAGATGGAGCAGAGCATAGGTATGAAGAGATTGGAAGAGAGGCACGTAATGGGACGGTTGAAAGCAATGATGAAAAAGGGGATGTGACAGTCAGAGAGGTGGATAAGGATAAGAGAGAGGCCAGCCCTCCAGCCTGTGAGCTCTCTGTTTGGGGTGCACGGGAAGCAGGGGGTGACGTGGGTGTGTGAGCACCGGGGGCTGCTGTACAGCGCAGGTAGAGATGGCTGTGTGAGAGTCCTCCGGGCCTGGAGGTTCTGAGGGTCTGCAGGGGGATGGAGTGGCTGGAGAGAGTTCTGCTTCTGGAACCCCAGGACTCTGAAGAGGACCAGAGGGTCCAGGAACTAGAAGGGACTGGGTCTGGGAGTGGTAAAGAGGCCCGCTTTGTGATCATTGGCTACCACTCGGTCCACCTTGTGGTTTGGGACCCTATGAGGCAGGAAAGGCTGCTTTCAGTGCCCTGTGGAGGAGGCCATCGGTCCTGGAGCAACTGCCCCCACCAGTATTGCCTCTCAGTGGGCCAGGGGGCCCTGGTGTTCATCAAGCAGGTGGTGGTCCTGGCATCTCAGCCCTCAGGGGAGGCATCCAGCCGGGCAGGGAGCCTGGGCCTGAGAGAGGGGCTGCTTGGCAGGGGAGTGGGCTGTGTGTGTCGCATGGGGGTGGTGGAGGCTGGAGAGGGCTGCAGGGAGGTGCTGGTGACCGGAGGAGAGGACACCAGCTTGATCGTCCTGGCGGTCCGACTGCAGACAGGTACGGTCAGAGTGCTGTCGGTCCTCACCGACCACATCTCTAATGTTCGGACACTGACAGCAGTCAAACGATTGGATGGAAGGACTGACAGAGGGACAGATGAACATACAGCAACACAGGCCCTCTCTGCACTGTTCGTATCTGCGGGTGGGTGGGCTCAGATGCAGTGCTTCCGGCTGCTGATTGGAGGAAATGGAGAGTTAGGCCCGCCCTCCTGTCAGGTGATACAGCATTTACAGGGGGGTAATGCAAATGCTGTGATGTGAAATTTAGGTTTTTGATGGAAGTCAGTGCACAAGTTTACAGGGGGGCAAGACTGACACAGGTGAACATGAATATTTTAGTCACGTCTCCGATTGCCTTTTATCCAGCACCCATCAGAGTGCCAACTTCACTGAGGAGATAAAGAGAGAGTGAATCAGAAAAAGGAGAAGGCACCGAGAGAGAGAAGGGTTTGAGTATGGAGATGGACAGTAGAGGTGAATGAATACGTAAACTATTGAGAGAGTAGTACTTGAAGAGCCCGAGGATGGAGGGAGGTGATGCCTTCTGACCAATGACGTACAGTTAAAGTCGGAAGTTTACATTCACTTAGGTTGGAGTCATTAAACCTTGTTTTTCAACCACTCCACAAATGTATTGTTAACAAACTATAGTTTTGGCAAGTCGGTTAGGACATCTACTTTGTGCATGACACAAGTAATTTTTCCAACAATTGTTTACAGACAGATTATTTCACTTATAATTCACTGTATCACAATTCCAGTAGGTCAGAAGTTTACATACACTAACTTGACTGTGCCTTTAAACAGCTTGGAAAATTGCAGAAAATGATGTCATGGCTTTAGAAGCTTCTGATAGGCTAATTGACATCATTTGTGTCAATTGGAGGTGTACCTATGGATGTATTTCAAGGCCTACATTCAAACTAAGTGCCTCTTTGCTTGACATCATGGGAAAATCAAAAGAAATCAGCCAAGACCTCAGAAAAGAAATTGTAGACCTCCACAAGTCTGGTTCATCCTTGGGAGCAATTTCCAAACGCCTGAAGGTACCACGTTCATCTGTACAAACAATAGTATGCAAGTATAAACACCATGGGACCACGCAGCCGTCATACCGCTGTCACGATCGTTCATGAACGAGAAGGACCAAGGCGCAGCGTGATATGCATTCATATTTATTAACGACTAAACACACGACAAAACAACAAACGAAACGTGAAGTCCAAGGTAGCATACACACAACATACCTTACACGGAACAAGATCCCACAACTAACAGGTGCCAAAAGGCTGCCTAAGTATGGTCCCCAATCAGAGACAACGAGCAACAGCTGCCTCTGATTGGGAACCACTCAGGCCAACATAGATCTACACATTCTAGATCAACCATAGACAATCAACATAGCACAACACGACACAGAAAATACACACCCTAACTCAACAAATACAAGTCCTCAGAGTCAGGGGGTGACAACCGCTCAGGAAGGAGACGCGTTCTGTCTCCTAGAGATGAAAGTACTTTGGTGTGAAAAGTGCAAATCAATCCCAGAACAACAGCAAAGGACCTTGTGAAGATGCTGGAGGAAACAGGTACAAAAGTATCTATATCCACAGTAAAACAAGTCCTATATCGACATAACCTGAAAGGCCGCTCAGCAAGGAAGAAGCCACTGCTCCAAAACCGCCATAAAAAAGCCAAACTACGGTTTGCAACTGCACATGGGGACAAAGATCGTACTTTTTGGAGAAATGTCCTCTGGTCTGAATAAACTGTGATCTCTCTGTCTGGACCCTGGTGTGGGAGACCCCGAACCTGGAGAGGGGCTGACGTCTAGGTCTGGACTGGAACCGCTGACTGGAGCTGGACCCGACGACGGTGGATCGAACTGCTCTGGCTCCGGAGTGGAGCCGCTGACCGGAGCTGGATCAGGCACCGGTGGAGCGGACTGCTCTGGCTCCGGAGTGGAGCAGTTGACCGGAAATGGACTGGACCCCGGTGGAGCGGATTGCTCTGGCTCCGGAGTGGATCCGCTGACCGGAGTTGGACCGGACCCCGGTGGAGCGGATTGCTCTGGCTCCGGAGTGGAGCAGACCGGTGCCGGAACAGGCACCGGTGGAACAGGCACGGGCCGTGCCGGACTGGACACACGCACCACTGGCTTGGTGCGGGGAGCAGGAACGGGCCGTGCCGGACTGGACACACGCACCACTGGCTTGGTGCGTGGAGCAGGAACGGGCCGGACCGGGCTGACGACGCGCACCACTGACTTGGTGCGGGGAGCAGGAACGGGCCGTACCGGACTGGCGACGCGCACCACTGGCTTGGTGCGAGGGACAGGAACAGGTCGGACCGGGCTGGCGACGCGCACCACTGGCTTGGTGCGAGGGGCAGGAACAGGCCGGGCTGGGCTGGCGACGCGCACCACTGGCTTGGTGCGAGGGACAGGAACAGGCCGGACCGGGCTGGCGACGCGCACCACTGGCTTGGTGCGAGGGGCAGGAACAGGCCGGGCTGGCGACGCGCACCACTGGCTTGGTGCGAAGGGCTGGAACAGGCCGGGCCGGGCTGGCGACGCGCACCACTAGCTTGGTGCGAGGGACAGGAACAGGCCGGACCGGGCTGGCGACGCGCACCACTGGCTTGGTGCGAGGGGCAGGAACAGGCCGGGCCGGGGACGCGCACCACTGGCTTGGTGCGAAGGGCTGGAACAGGCCGGGCCAGGCTGGCGACGCGCACCACAGGCTTGGTGCGAGAGCAGGAACAGGCCGGACCGGGCTGGCGACGCGCACCACTGGCTTAGTGCGGGGAGCAGGAACGGGCCGGACCGTACTGGGAACACACACCACTGGCTTAGTGAGGGGAGCAGGAACGGGCCGGACCGTACTGGGAACACACACCACTGGCTTAGTGCGGGGAGCAGGAACAGGTCGGGCCGTACTGGGAACAGGCACCACTGGCTTAGTGCGGGGAGCAGGAACGGGCCGGACCGTACTGGGAACACGCACCACTGGCCTTGTGCGGGAAGCAGGAATGGGTCGGGCCTTACTGGGAACACGCACCACTGGCTTAGTGCGGGGATCAGGAACGGGCCGGACCGGACTGGCGACACGCACCACTTGCTTGGTGCGAGGAGCGGGACTGGGTTCCCTTATAAACCCCCGCTCCTTCTGCTGCCTAACCAGCTCCTCTCGCCGTGCCTCTACACTCTCCTTCTCCCTTATAGCCTCCTGTAGCTCCTCCCTCTGACCAAATAACTCCTGCTCCCTCTGGACCAATAGCCCCCGTAACCTGGTGGCCTCCTCTCCTAACCTGCAGAATCGCCCTGTCGCTGCCTCCTGCTGCCTCGTCGTCCACACCGTGTGCCCCCCCCAAAAATGTTCTTGCCGTTGCCTCTCGGGTCTCCGTCGTCGGCACTGTTGGCGCCGTTTCTCCTCTCCTACCTGGGCATCCTCATTCATCGCTCTCCGGTAGCGGACGGCCTCCTCCTTCGTAATTCTCCCCCAACCGAGGAGGACATCTACTAACGTAACCTTCTGTTTAGTTCCCGGCGTTTGCTCCTGAACACGCTGCTTGGTCCTATTTTGGTGGGATCTTCTGTCACGATCGTTCATGAAGGAGAAGGACCAAGGCGCAGCATGATATGCATTCATATTTATTAACGACTAAACACACGACAAAACAACAAACGAAACGTGAAGTCCAAGGTAGCATACACACAACATACCTTACACGGAACAAGATCCCACAACTAACAGGTGCCAAAAGGCTGCCTAAGTATGGTCCCCAATCAGAGACAACAAGCAACAGCTGCCTCTGATTGGGAACCACTCAGGCCAACATAGATCTACACATTCTAGATCAACCATAGACAATCAACATAGCACAACACGACACAGAAAATACACACCCTGACTCAACAAATACAAGTCCTCAGAGTCAGGGCGTGACAACCGCTCAGGAAGGAGACGCGTTCTGTCTCCTAGAGATGAAAGTACTTTGGTGTGAAAAGTGCAAATCAATCCCAGAACAACAGCAAAGGACCTTGTGAAGATGCTGGAGGAAACAGGTACAAAAGTATCTATATCCACAGTAAAACAAGTCCTATATCGACATAACCTGAAAGGCCGCTCAGCAAGGAAGAAGCCACTGCTCCAAAACCGCCATAAAAAAGCCAAACTACGGTTTGCAACTGCACATGGGGACAAAGATCGTACTTTTTGGAGAAATGTCCTCTGGTCTGAATAAACTGTGATCTCTCTGCTCTGTCATCACAGGCTATAGGATCTATGATGTTACGGGATCGGTTGCCTATGATTGGCTCCTTTGGAAGGAAACCAGCAGGTACTGTGAACCAACTATGGTTTCCCACCACTTAATTTACCAGCGCTACTATTTTAACCTGCTTCATTGTCTGTGTGTTGATTTCTGGTACATTACTGTTTAAAAGGCCAGCTCCTTCTCTTGCTCCGGCCCCTCCTACTCTGCCTTCTCTCCCACTCCTCCTCTCCTGTCTCCTCCCCTCTCTCATCTCTGTTGGCTCTCAAGTGTTTGTTTTCCTCTGGCTTTGTTCTCTGTCAACACAGACACTCGATCCTATCAACAGAGACACACAGGGCAAGGAAATACACATGAAAAATAATACGCTTTGTACATATGACATAATAAACAATGCACTGTAAGGTTCACAATGGCATAACCTGAGTGAAAGTGTTATACAACTTATCTGCCTAACCACACACAATTATCCTAACATATAGCCTATGCAGGTATGAATATCTTGATTTAGTATAATGCTTTTATAAACTTAGATGTCACATACTTAGGAGTTACATAAAAAGTACATAAAAATGTACATAAAAAGATAGAACTGTACAGTATACAAAGTCAAAGACAACCTTGCCCTATTTCAACTGTATATCTGTGACAAATAAAGTTACTTTAAAACGATTTGAACATTTACTGTCTTCTCAACATGGTTTAAACTGAGAATCTCTCTTGATCCACAGCCAAGCCTACTCTGACAACCCTCCAACGCCCCTCTCAGGCCGGACGGAGGAAGCGCACCCAGCCGGCCCAGACCTCAGCCAACCTCCCTCCTGACAGCATGACCCCGTGGGGCGGGCTGTCCCTGTCTGAATCCTCCTTCACCAGCATCCCTCCACCCCCGCCCGCCTCTCTCCCCGCACCTCTGTCTCCCCACCTCCCCTGTCACCTGTCAGGGGGTGTAGGTGTCCAGACAGAGCCCTGCCCCCTCGCCCCTAGTCACAGCACCCACGGAGGAGGGCAGGGCGGTGAGGGTAAGGCGCAGGGTGCTCCCCCAGCGCAGGCTGCCCCGTGCCCCCCGCCTGCCCCCACTCAGACCCGTCACCAACCTCAGCTTCTCTTGCAGCTTCACCTTCTCCTTCTTCGAGCTGCCACTTCACCAGTCCCCCCGCAGTCGCGCTGAGCACATCCGAGACCTCATGCTGCTGCTGAGACAGGTCCACTACTGTATGACCGCAACACACCATGACCTAGGATAATACTTGACCACCCACCAGGACAGTGGTCCAGTTCTGGTTGCATCACAAGCACTGACGCAATTCGAGTTCTAGCCAATGAGTTTCCGCCCCTCGCTATTTTAGTGACAGCTAGCAAGATGCACACATAGCAGAGCGAGAGAGCGAGCAATGACGAGGTGCACATATCTGCACGTGACATAGTAAGACATTGTTGGTGACCACTTTTGGCTCGTGGGCGCTACTTTCAGAACTAGTGGCTAAAAAGTATGCAAAAGTACAGGAGAATCACTTTAATGTTTAATATAATGTGGCATATGTTTACAATAATAATTATCTCCCAATACTGGGTAAAAAAGTCTCTATTTGTTTGTCATCAAATCACTTTATATTCTACAATCAGTTATAGTCTCACTACAGAGTTCCAAACTGCCTCTGAAAGCAACGTCAGCACAATAACTGTTCGTCGGGAGCTTCATGAAATGTGTTTCCATGGCGGAGCAGCCGCACACAAGCCTAAGATCACCATGCGCAATGCCAAACGTCGGCTGGAGTGGTGTAAAACCCGCTGCCATTGGAATCCGGAGCAGTGGAAAAGCGTTCTCTGGAGTGATGAATCACGCCTCACCATCTGGCAGTCCGATGGACGAATCTGGGCTTGGCGAATGCCAGGAGAACGCTACCTGCCCGAATGCATAGTGCTAACTGTAAAGTTTGGTGGAGGAGGAATAATGGTCTGGGGCTGTTTTACATGGTTCGGGCTAGGCCCCTTAGTTCCAGTGAAGGGAAATCTTAACGCTACAGCATACAATGACATTCTAGACGATTCTGTGCTTCCAACATTGTGGCAACAGTTTGGGGAAGGCCCTTTCCTGTTTCAGCATGACAATGCCCCCGTGCACAAAGCGAGGTTCATACAGAAATGGTTTATCGAGATCGGTGTGGAAGAACTTAACCTGCCTGCACAGAGCCCTGACCTCAACCCCATCGAACACCTTTGGGATGAATTGTAACGCTGACTGCGGGCCTAATCGCCCAACATCATTGCCCAACCTCACTAATGCTCTTGTGGCTGAATGGAAGCAAGTCCCTGCAGCAATGTTCCAACTTCTAGTGGAAAGCCTTCCCAGAAGAGTGGAGGCTGTTATAGCAGCAAAGGGGGGACCAACTCCTTATTAATGCCCATGATTTTGGAATGAGATGTTCGACGAGCAGGTGTCCACATACTTCTGGTCCTGTAGGTACATGCCCTCCTGTGCTAACTGACATAGTGTCACGTGTGGGTGTCTGATATCAGTGGATAGTGAGACAGATAGGTAGAGGCTTTGAAGTTGTCTATTTGGACTTTGTACTCAGAATGGGGTGCAACATGACACTCTTATAACCCTGTGATCAAACTTTATCAGTGTAGAAGCAACAGTCATTTTGCATACTTTGGTAGTCCTACTTTGGGCTCCCGAGTGGCGCAGTGGTCCAAGGCACTGCATCTCAGTGCTTGAGGCGTCACTACAGACCTCCTGGTTCGATTCCAGGCTGTATCACAATCGGCCGTGATTGGGAGTCCCATAGGACGGCGCACAATTGGCCCAGCGTCGTCCGGGGTTGGCCGGTGTAGGCCATCATTGTAAATAAGAATTTGTTCTTAACTGACTTGCCTAGTTAAATAAAGGTAAAATAAATAAATAAAAACTTTGATCTGGTTTCATCCAATTATAATCCAATTTCATGAAAACATGATTCTGACTTTTCAGGACCTTTAAGCAGTTTTGTGTTTCCGTGATTTCATATATGTGTTAAATGCTTTCCTCAGGTCTCCACACTGTTGTTGGCTTTGAGGGATTAGTTCAATGTAGTAGGGAATAATGCCTTGTAATCCACCAACCATTTCACTGGTGGTGTTGTAAGATTTTACATTGATCTCTTAGAAATAAATGTGTTTGTTTGATAGCTTAAGTCATCCTGTGGATATGACAGTATGGCTATAGAGATGGGCCAGGAGATCATGGGGTTTGTTTGGGTTCTTTCTCCTGAGCAAGGCCCTACTAACGCCACAGCTCTGGTTACATCCCAAATGGTACCCTATTCCCCATATAGTGCACTATGAAGGGATAGGGTGCCATTTGGGACGCAACCTCTGTCTGAATGGGAGCCATTGATAAAGGAGGTATTCAGTAGCATTGAACAGTTGGGAGGGGAAGGGAGGGAGTCGGGGAGGGTGGAGTTCAAGGCTTACCTCCACCCTCCCCGGCTCACGTGGTGTACGGTACACACACTCTCACATTCACATCACATAGGTCTACTCATTCTCTCTGCACATAGTTTTGTACAGGTTTTATCTTCACCATAGTATTTACTCTACTACACACTGTTTGGATATTTCTCTATTTAATTACTATGCTATTATTTTTGCGCATTCACTCTAATTATATCAAAACTGTTTCACTTTACTATTTATAAAATAAATAGAGATACACTGGCGAACGGAAAATTGGCAGAAGTCAGTGAATGTTGACCATCCTTTTATAGCAGTGCTGGAGAGTGTTTCTGCACTATGCTTTTGACTTCAAGATGGACAGTATTATTCTTAATCCTCTGAAGCCTGTTTTGCCTGATCACAAAGCCATGCTGGATGAAGCACAGCTGGATATCCTGGGGCAGCGGTTCAGAAAGAAGTCCCGGTCGGTTTGGGAGAGGTTGAACGCAGAATGCTGGTGAGTGACAGTGGGGCCTTGTTTGCCCCAGCGCTGTATTCATTGGGAGATTCTCAATTAGGTTTTGCTGAACTCCTCTGTCCTCCGTACTCTCCTTGCATCCTTTTGAAAAAGGTAAAAGTTAATCGAGGAGAGGGTGGAGGAGAGGAAACGTGGAAACAAATGCACTCTCCTTCTCCACTAGCACAGCATCAGGCAAATTATCCTTACAGAGTACGAATACATGACTAAAGTGGTACAAATTTATTTGAGAGATAAAAGGATAAGTAGCATATCGTTTTAAAATGTGTGCATGATTTTCTCTTGTGTGTGGCGGATTTCGGCAGAGGAGACTCAGAGGATGCACTTGTGCTTCCTCCGCAGGGAAGACGCAATCGAGGACAGAGGCAGACTCCTCTGTTCACCTAATAATGATTTGACACTCCTCGATCACTCGACCACTTATCGGTTTCCAGGTCATGGAGGAGAAAGGACAGAGGAGTTATTTATTTGTCCTTTCAGCTAGTGCTGAAAGAGTGAAATGTGGGTCGAGTTACCCTGAGAAAGGAAATAATGCAAGGCTTTGAATATAATATATATCGGTATGTTTGTATGTATGACTGACACACAGGTACTTTCGCCACACTTGCTATCATAATGATTGGCACTGTGAAGGGTAATGTGGAGTTGCTTAGCAACGGTGTTGAGGAGCGGGAGGGTTGACAGAGACTTTACTTGTGATATGAAACTTAAGTTATTAGAATGTTATGTTCCCAGGCTACATGGGAAACTACCAGTATGTCCCTTCTCTCTCTCCGTGGCTCCAGCCTGTCCCCCCAAGCCAAGGAGCTGTTTGGTCCGGCTCTGTCCCTCGCTGTGGTAGGCTTAGGCTTCACATCCTCCATGGGGAGAATGTTCGCCCAAAAACATGGTTACACCTTGGACAGCAACCAGGTAACAGAGAAATGAGCTCTCACATTGTCTCATAATGAACTCGCTATCCTCACTCCACTGTTAGAAGGACCCGTTTTTCTCTCCCCCTATTTAACTGTTATAAGTGGTCTCCCTGCTGTAGGACCTGTTGACGATAGGCCTCTGCAACACAATTGTAGGGATGTTCTTGTGTTTCACCGTCAGCTGATCCTTGTCACACAGTACAGTCCAAGGGAGTGTTGGGGTGAAAACTCAGGTAGTGATTTATTTTAAATGTTTTAAGGAGAATGGAATTATTCTTTGTGATAGACATAGTAGTAAAATGAGAGGGGGGGTACAAGTGATAGGGATACATAATTAAAAGTCTGATACGGGAATTGAACCCTGGTCCCCCCTGGGAATATGTAGTCCATAGTTGGCTGCATTGTCGCTAGACTAAACTCTGGCACAGGTAAAGACTTCATCTCACATCTTCTATCTCTTATATGTACAGGTAATTGACAAAATAAAGGAAACACTTGAGTAAATGAGGGATACAAAGTATATTGAAAGCAGGTGCTTCCATACAGCTGTGGTTCCTGAGTTAATTAAGCTATTAACATCCCATCATGCTTAGGGTCATATGTAAAAATGTCCAATTGCCCATTATTTAACAAATAACACATAGGCCTATGTATTTCATTTCAATATCCTACTACAATCCACCAGGATTTACAAAACCCTATTTTTATTGCATTTATTTCCATCCATAATTAGTCCAAAAAGTATTGCACCTGAAAATATGACTGTTATATTTTCCCTTAAAGCTTTTAATCAATTAACATAATGCATGCAGTCATTTTATTTCAATTTCAGTAGCTAAATAAGGAGGTAGGCATATCAGTTTCAGCTAAAACATGGATTAGAATCACGTGCAGCAATAGATCTCTGTGTGCAGGCAGCCTGCTCGAGCGCATCGGTCAACATTCGTATGGTAGTTGGGACAGAGCGCCTGGTAGGCTACACAACAACAAAGCTGGAAAACAACTGTTTCTCGAAATGTACACAAAAAAAGGCAAAAAGATTTGACTGATAAGTGGTATTCCCTGTTCTCCAGGTAGAACTCTTTTGGGTTCCATGTAGAACCCTTTTTCCACAGAGGTTTCTACATGGAACCCAAAAGGGTTCTACCTGGAACCAAGAATAATTTTACATGGAACCAAAAAGGGTTATCCTATGGGGACAGCCGAAGAACCCTTTTGGAAACTTCCAGAAGCTTTAAAATGTGGGCCAGATTGTCAGGATGGGTAATGTACTGTATAAGTACACATTATTTACAAGTAAGAACCCCTCAAGATACACTTCATTTTAACTAGCTAAATTCTATGTAACACCTATTAATTACGTTGTTCTTATGCAAACATTACATGTACTATGCTTTGAAATAGTATGTTTTTCCTTATCTGGGATGACCATGTTAACATCCACGAGGGGTCACAGCCTTTGTGAGAGTTGTTACTGAATCGGACGCAGCTGAGAAGAAACAAAACACAAAGTTTGTGAATGTAGTGGAAACCTGCCCATTTGTAACAAGCATTAATTGTTACACCGTTGTAATTACAGACCACAATTACTACCAGTTACATGTTGTTATTATAACTATTGGTTGTCACAGTTAACTACAATACTTGTTACACTGTAATTACACTGTAATAAGGACACCTTAAAATGAAGTGTTACCCCAGGTTATGATGAGGTCTTAACTATGACAAGTAGGCCCCATAATATAACACATAATATAGTGGTCAGAATTATGACCAGCTGGTCAGATAGAGGTCACAATTATGACCAGCTGGTCGTATGGTGGTCAGAAAAATACATATTCTGGTCAGTAATAAGCCGTCATAAAAAGACATCATACGTTAGTCTCTCTTTACAGCTGCTGTGGTTGGCCTCCCTAATCTCCACGTTGCTGTTCAACCTGGATCTGGGCCTGTTTGCTACCATGGCCCTCTCTCTGATCACTGGAGTGACTGTATTCTCCTGCTCCAACCCTCTGTACTTTGCAAACGCTGAGCTGCTCTTCAGCTCTCTCAGAGAGGTACTGTAGGTAGGCTGCATGCCACGAGACATAAACTATACCTCAACCCAGACAATATAACATAAACCATAACTCAACCCAGAACCACCACATTCCACTGTTTGTTTATACATATTTGTGCATTCCTTCACGCACTTACTGTAGGTTGACACCTATAATTCATACAATGTGAAAATCTATTAACATTAGCAATTGTGTGTGTGTGCGTGCGTGCGTGTTTGTGCATGCATACGTGTATGTGTGTTTTTGTGTATACAGTCTGTTGAGAACCACCCCTTACCTCAAATGTCAGGAACAAGGCACGGTCTGGTGCTTGAGTTTAGCTCAGTCATCTTCATGGATTCTGTGTCAATCAAAGCACTATGCAAGGTGAGCCCAAACAGTCATTACCTGAAACAAATAACACAAACCCCATGTATAGACAATGGTGTTACTATACTATGTTAGGTCACTATCTCTAGTTCTGCATTCCAGCTGTACAAACAATTTGCTTTATTGGGTTGATTGCCTTTAACAATAGCTTTGTGAGTGGTGCATAACATATTGCGTAATCCAGTCAAACATAATCCACATTACATCATAAAATATGACTGTGCTGTGAGATCAAAATGTATGGTCCTCCTTACCTCACAGCGTACCATAATGGATGTTGTTGATGTTATCTGTGTGTTCTGTGTTATCTTCAACCATACAGACAGTCTTTGAATAAGATGGGCATATGTTATTTTGTGTGTGTGTGTGTGTGTGTGTGTGTGTGTGTGTGTGTGTGTGTGTGTGTGTGTGTGTGATAAAGAGCAGAAGAGAGAGCGTGAGATAGGGATAGGGCACAAGAGATATTCCACACTGTGTGTTTCTGGCAGCTTGTAAGATGTGATGGTAGCTGCAGTTGCTTTAGAAATCAGTTGTAGGTTGTAGTGTACTGTGCATGTCAGTTTCAGGTTGTAGTGTACTGTGCATGTCGATTTCAGATTGTAGTGTACTGTGCATGTCAGTTTCAGATTATAGTGTACTGTGCATGTTAGTTTCAGATTGTAGTGTACTGTGCATGTCATTTTCAGATTGTAGTGTACTGTGCATGTCCGTTTCAGATTGTAGTGTACTGTGCATGTCAGTTTCAGATTATAGTGTACTGTGCATGTTAGTTTCAGATTGTAGTGTACTGTGCATGTCATTTTCAGATTGTAGTGTACTGTGCATGTCCGTTTCAGATTGTAGTGTACTGTGCATGTCAGTTTCAGATTGTAGAGTACTGTGCATGTCAGTTTCAGATTGTAGTGTACTCTGCATGTCAGTTTATAATTGTAGAGTACTGTGCATGTCAGTTTCAGATTGTAGTGTACTGTGCATGTCAGTTTCAGAATGTAGTGTACTGTGCAAGTCAGTTTCAGATTGTAGTGTACTGTGCATGTCAGTTTCAGATTATAGTGTACTGTGCATGTTAGTTTCAGATTGTAGTGTACTGTGCATGTCAGTTTCAGATTGTAGTGTACTGTGCATGTCCGTTTCAGTTTGTAGTGTACTGTGCATGTCAGTTTCAGATTGTAGAGTACTGTGCATGTCAGTTTCAGATTGTAGTGTACTCTGCATGTCAGTTTATAATTGTAGAGTACTGTGCATGTCAGTTTCAGATTGTAGTGTACTGTGCATGTCAGTTTCAGAATGTAGTGTACTGTGCAAGTCAGTTTCAGATTGTAGTGTACTGTGCACGTCATTTTCAGATTGTAGAGTACTGTGCATGTCAGTTTCAGATTGTAGTGTACTGTGCATGTCAGTTTCAGATTGTAGTGTACTGTGCATGTCAGTTTCAGATTGTACTGTACTGTGCATGTCAGTTTCAGATTGTAGAGTACTCTGCATGTCAGTTTCAGATTGTAGTGTACTGTGCATGTCAGTTTCAGATTGTAGTGTACTGTGCATGTCAGTTTGAGATTGTAGTGTACTGTGCTTGTCAGTTTCAGATTGTAGTGCACTGTGCATGTCAGTTTCAGATTGTAGTGTACTGTGTATGTCAATATCAGATTGTAGTGTACTGTGCATGTCAGTTTCAGATTGTAGTGTACTGTGCATGTCAGTTTCAGATTGTAGTGTACTGTGCATGTCAGTTTCAGATTGTACTGTACTGTGCATGTCAGTTTCAGATTGTAGTGTACTGTGCATGTCAGTTTCAGATTGTAGTGTACTGTGCATGTCGATTTCAGATTGTACTGTACTGTGCATGTCAGTTTGAGATTGTAGTGTACTGTGCTTGTCAGTTTCAGATTGTAGTGCACTGTGCATGTCAGTTTCAGATTGTAGTGTACTGTGTATGTCAATATCAGATTGTAGTGTACTGTGCATGTCAGTTTCAGATTGTAGTGTACTCTGCATGTCAGTTTCATATTGTAGTGTACTGTGCATGTCAGTTTCAGATTGTAGAATACTGTGCATGTCAGTTTCAGATTGTAGTGTACTGTGCATGTCAGTTTCAGATTGTAATGGATTGGTCTTGTGTGTTACCTGTGTGCTGTAGACAGGCTGGTGAGTCAGCTGCAGGTCCAGGGCTTTGTCCCAAACACTCTGCCCAGGTCCTGCCTCTTCCCCTCAATGCACCACGCTGTCGAAAACTGCCAGACATCTCCATCCCTGGCTGTGAGTATGCTCACTTTTGCTGTATGCATTGCTACAGGCATTGCTACCTAGTGTCCTATGTCTACCCATTTGTCTCTTAGAATTAGTTTGTTTGCTTGTGATTGTTGTCTACTTCTGCATTGATGTCATTTTACTGCTCCTATAAGACCACAACACAGAGCTGACTGAGTGTTGATGTGCAGCCTGCAGCTCATGGAGTGGATGGAGAATGCCACTGTAGAACTCCTACCTCAATCAGAATATGGAGTAGACTGAACTCTCAACTCTCAGCTCAAGCTGGTGTTGTGATAGGACTATGAACATTTATTTCCAGAAACAAATAACTTTCTTCTGAAACTCGTCAGTCAGTTTCTTGGCAATTTCTCGCATGGAATAGCCTTCATTTCTCAGAACAAGAATAGACTGACGAGTTTCAGAAGAAAGTTATTTGTTTCTGGCCATTTTGAGCCTGTAATCGAACCCACAATTGCTGATGCTCCAGATACTCAACTAGTCTCAAGAAGGCCAGTTTTATTGCTTCTTTAATCAGCACAACAGTTTTCAGCTGTGCTAACATAATTGCAAAAGGGTTTTCTAATGATCAATTAGCCTTTTAAGATGATAAACTTGGATTAGCAAACACAATGTGTTTGAAAAAAATTAAAATGTATGCACTCACTAACTGTAAGTCGCTCTGGATAAGAGCGTCTGCTAAATGACTAAAATGTAAAATGTAAATGTAAATGTGTCATTGGAACACAGGACTGATGGTTGCTGCTAATGGGCCTCTGTACGCCTATGTAGATATTCCATAAAAAATCGTCAGTTTCCAGCTACAATAGCCATTTAAAACATTAACAATGTCTACATCAATTTGATGTTATTTTAATGGACAAAACATTTAGCTTTTCTTTCGAAAACAAGGACATTTCTAAGTGACCACAAACTTTTGAACGGTAGTGTATATAAATATTAGATCGAGCAATGTCGGTGTGGCTTTGACTAAAATACAGTAGAATAGAATACAGTATATACATATCAGATGAGTAAAGCAGTATGTAAACATTATTAAGGTGACTAGTGTTCCATTATTGAAGTGGCCAGTGATTCCAAGTCTACAGTTGAAGTCAGAAGTTTAAATACACTTAGGTTGGAGTCATTAAAACTCGTTTTTCAACCACTCCACAAATTTCTTGTTAACAAACTATAGTTTTGGCAAGTCGGTTAGGACATCTACTTTGTGCATGACACAAGTAATTTTTCCAACAATTGTTTACAGACAGATTATTTCACTTATAATTCACTGTATCACAATTCCAGTGGGTCAGAAGTTTACATACACTAACTTGACTGTGCCTTTAAACAGCTTGGAAAATTGCAGAAAATTATGTCATGGCTTTAGAAGCTTCTGATAGGCTAATTGACATCATTTGAGTCAATTGGAGGTGTACCTGTGGATGTATTTCAAGGCCTACCTTCAAACTCAGTGCCTCTTTGCTTGACATCATGGGAAAATCAAAAGATATCAGCCAAGACCTCAGAAATAAAATTGTAGACCTCCACAAGTCTGGTTCATCTTGGGAGCAATTTCCAAACGCCTGAAGGTACCACGTTCATCTGTAACAATCGTACGCAAGTATAAACACCATGGGACCACGCAGCCGTCATACCGCTCAGAAAGGAGACGCGTTCTGTCTCCTAGAGATGAACGTACTTTGGTGCGAAAAGTGCAAATCAATCCCAGAACAACAGCAAAGGACCTTGTGAAGATGCTGGAGGAAACAGGTACAAAAGTATCTATATCCACAGTAAAACGAGTCCTACATAACCTGAAAGGCCGCTCAGCAAGGAAGAAGCCACTGCTCCAAACCGCCATAAAAAAGCCAGACTACGGTTTGCAACTGCACATGGGGACAAAGATCGTACCTTTTGGAGAAACGACCTCTGGTCTGATGAAACAAAAATAGAACTGTTTGGCCATAATGACCATCATTATGTTTGGAGGAAAAAGGGTGTTGCTTGCAAGCCGAAGAACACCATCCCAACCGTGAAGCACGGGGGTGGCAGCATCATGCTGTGGGGGTGCTTTCTGCAGGAGGGACTGGTGCACTTCACAAAATAGATGGCATCATGAAGAAGGAAAATTATGTGGATATATTGAAGCAACATCTCAAGACATCAGTCAGGAAGTTAAAGCTTGGTCGCAAATGGGTCTTCCAAATGGACAATGACCCCAAGCATACTTCCAAAGTTGTGCCAAAATGGCTTAAGGACAACAAAGTCAAGGTATTGGAGTGGCCATCACAAAGCCCTGACCTCAATCCTATAGAAAATGTGTGGGCAGAACTGAAAAAGCGTGTGCGAGCAAGGAGGCCTACAAACCTGACTCAGTTACACCAGCTCTGTCAGAAGGAATTATTATATTTCACCCAACTTATTGTGGGAAGCTTGTGGAAGGCTACCCGAAACATTTGACCCAAGTTAAACAATTTAAAGGCAATGCTTCCAAATACTAAATGAGTGTATGTAAACTTCTGACCCACTGGGAATGTGATGAAAGAAATAAAAGCTGAAATAAATCATTCTCTCTACTATTATTTTGATATTTCACATTCTTAAAATAAAGTGGTGATCCTAACTGACCTAAAACGGGGAATTTTTACTAGGATTAAATGTCAGGAATTGTGAGAAACTGAGTTTAAATGTATTTGGCTAAGGGGCAAGTAAACTTCCGACTTCAACTGTATATGGGGCAGCAGCCTCTAAGGTGCAGGGTTGCGTAACCGGGTGGAAGCCGGCTAGTGATGGCTATTTAACAGTCTGATGGCCTTGAGATAGACACAGTTTTTCAGTCTCTCGGCCCCAGCTTTGATGCACCTGTACTGACCTCGCCTTCTGGATGATAGCGGGGTGAACAGGCCATGGCTCGGGTGGTTGATGTCCTTGATGATCTTTTTGGCCTTCCTGTGACATTGGGTGCTGTAGGTGTCCTGGAAGGCAGGTAGTTTGCCCCCAGTGATGCGTTGGGCAGACCGCACCACCCTCTGGAGAGCTCTGCGGTTGCGGGCGGTGCAGTTGCCGTACCAGGCGGTGATACAGCCCGACAGGATGCTCTCAATTGTGCATCTGTAAAAGTTTGTGAGGGTTTTAGGGGCCAAGCCAAATTTCTTCAGCCTCCTGAGGTTGAAGAGGCGCTGTTGCGCCTTCTTCACCACACTGTCTGTGTGGGTGGACCATTTTAGAATATCAGTGATGTGTACACCGAGGAACTTGAAGCTTTCCACCCTCTCAACTGCAGTCCTGTCGATGTGGATAGGGGCATGCTCCCTCTGCTGTTTCCTGAAGTCCACAATCAGCTCCTTTGTTTTGTTGACATTGAGTGAGAGGTTATTTTCCTGGCACCACTCTCCCAGGGCCCTCACCTCCTCCCTGTAGGCTGTCTCGTCATTGTTGGTAATCAAGCCTACTACTGTTGTGTCGTCTGCAAACTTGATGATTGAGTTGGAGGCGTGCGTGGCCACGCAGTCATGGGTGAACAGGGAGTACAGGAGGGGGCTGAGCACGCACCCTTGTGGGGCCCCTGTGTTGAGGATCAGCGAAGTGGAGGTGTTGTTTCCTACCTTCACCACCTGGGGCCGGCCCGTCAGGAAGTCCAGGACCCAGTTGCACTGGGCGGGGTTCAGACCCAGGGCCCCGAGCTTAATGATGAGCGTGGAGGGTACTATAGGGTTGAATGCTGAGCTATAGTCAATGCTTGGGGCCCTTGTCCAGATGGGGTAGTGTGCAGTGCGATGGCGATTGCATCGTCTGTGGATCTATTGAGGTGGTAAGCAAATTGAAGTGGGTCTAGGTTGTCAGGTAAGGTAGAGGTGATATGATCCTTAACTAGCCTCTCAAAGCACTTCATGACGACAGAAGTGAGTGCAACAGGACGATCTGCAATCCACATGCTGATAGCCTACTACGGTTATGTTGTGAAGTATGGACCATACTGTCAGGTCATTCATTCTGCTGTGTGTTTTATAAAGAATGGAAATAGAAGCTGTTTATATAAAATATGTATTGGAGCAATATGGTTTCTTGTGTTCAATTCTAGGGTTAGGGTTGAGCCAAGATGTGGAGATGAAGCGAGGGTTAGGGTTAAGGCTAGGGTTGAGCCGGGAGTTTATATGAAGATAGGGTTAGGGTTAGGGTTGAGGCTAGGTTTAGGGTTGAGCAATGTATTGAGAAAAACGACTGTGACATTTAATTTGTTTGCAAAAAACAAGATAACGTTTTCCTATGATATCATGTTGTAACCACACTGCTAACCCTAATGCCTAACCCTAACCTTAAATTAAGACCAAAAAGCACATTTTTGTTTTCATGAATCTTTACAATATAGGCAATTCTGACTTTGCAGCTGGCCTCTCTAATAGGAAATCGCTCAGTTCTGCCTCCAGGATAAGACTGATGACAATAAATGTAAACCTGATGTTTCATAGGGGAGAGTGGGGTAAGTTGAGCCAAAGGGGTAAGTTGAGCTACCCGTTTCTAGGAATCCATACACAAAATTAATAATTTGACCAAATAGGACTCTACACACTCACACACACACACAAACTCACACTCACACTGACACTCCAACACACACACACACACACACTCACACACACACACACACACACACACACACTCACACTGACACTCCAACACACACACACACTCACACACACACACACACACACACACACACACACTCACACTGACACTCCAACACACACACACACACACACACACACATAACACACACAAATTGTTCTATACATCAGTTGAGGTCTCTATAAGCTTCAAAATGAGGTACTGAACCTAGCATGAAAGTGCATCCTTTTAGCTGTGTGGGCTAATATAGTCAAAATGTTTTAATTTGGGGTAAGTTGAACCAATGGCCATGGGGTAAATTGAGCCTTTTTACCCCAATCTCCCCTACACAATTGGTTTATTATTTTTCATTATAGCCATACTGTATCATCATTGTGTTAAAATCTTTGTAAACTTACTCTGTCTGCAGCTCCACTAGAATATGAAACTTGCAGTTTTCACAGCGGGGGGTTTACCTTTAATGATTGACAGGTGCAACACCCCTGTTTGATTACTTATCATTAGGATTATTTTCCCAATACAAAGTTGTAAAGTCAACACTTCTATTAAACTCTATGTGAACCTTTGAATACTGAAGAATGTAATATTGTTTCAACTCATATCATCAAGCTCCAGATGGAAATTAAAACACTATTAAATACAAATAAATATTAAATATCCACTCCATGTCAGAAGAGGGAGGAAAAGAGTACAGCCTATAGTTTAACTTAACTGCAAAGGGAGGGACAGAAGAACTGCCCATAGATAAAAAGTCTAGCAGAGAGCATAAATATAGTTACATGTTAGGACTCCACAAGAGGGGTGAACTGGAGGGCAAAGTTCAAAGGTCATCGAGGATCGCTGTTTTAGGCATTTCCTTTGACATGGACCAACAATATCCTATTCCAAAGGAGGTTTGGTTTATAACATTAGAATGTCAAACAAACTCCAACCCAACAGGTTCATTATTTATCCCTCAAGGTCCCCTAGTATCATTATTGGGGCCGTAACAGATTGTGCACACAACCAAGTCGTACACCATCCTCACAGGGTAAGCTAAAACAATGGTAATATCCCTGACTTGACTGAATTATGTCCTCTATCTAATCAGGCCCAGATAAGGCTCCTCATATGCCTCTTTCTAAAGACCTGCTGTCTCACTGCCTTGGCTTGAAGCTCCAACGTCCAACTGCATGCCTGGCTGTCCATCTCTACTGTGACAAATGATTGACTGGGACTTTGCTCTCCTCCTCAGTCCTCCCCACCTCCCCGACTATATCTCTGTTTTGTCTTCAAGGTCCACTGTCAAGATACTTGGACAAGCGGGAATACTCAGTGACAGAGAAGGCTTAAGAGGAAAAGAGGGTGGCAATACAGGATCAGTGAATCCTGAAGGGATTAATAACATAAGAAAGATCCTCTCTAACTGGAACAAAGTCTTACAAAGGCTCAGACAGTTTGGACACAGATTCATCAAGCATTAGGATTACCATATTTGGACAACTTGAAGCTGAAGTACAAACAAGCGTTGAAGGAGAGAAACATCTTTCCACAAGTTGAAACTACAACAAGTGGGACATCACAACTGATCCTTGAGAATCAACCTGAAGCCAGTTTCTATTGAGACATAAGACGTTTAAGTCATAAGATCACAACACATCATAACACAGGGAGAGACAAGGTGTCAGACAAGGTTGAAGGAATTATCAGAGGTGACCTCTACACAGACGAGACTCTAGCAGATCACACAGGCCCAACCATGACGGAGAGAAGGCGTGTGGGCTACTGCATGCACAGAGAGGTGTTGGATGAAGGAAAGGTGGACCAGTTGGCTGAGAAATCAGATGTTAAAGTCCCTTTCTCTGAAAAAATCAGAGAGTCAATGAGGTAAGGTGATAACCTTACTTTAACCTTGCATACAACTGAAAACAAAAACGAAAATGAAATGGAACTGTGACAAAACAGTGTTCAGAAATGACTCACTATTGAGTGAGTATTGTTAAGTATAATAATGCCCAGGGTTAGGTAGGTTACTTTGTAAATGTAATTGGTTACAGTTCTAAGTTATCTGTCCAAAATTGTAATGAGTAACGCAACTTTAGGATTACCCAAACTCAGTAACGTGATCTGATTACTTTTAGTTACTTTTGGACTACTTTCCCCTTAAAGATGCTGTCCGGGATCTTAAGCACAACAAATTTGTAACATATTGTACGAATTGGATTCGTAACATATCATATGAATTGCCAAAAATCTGGGGGAAAAAACGTTTTTTTGCAGGACATAACATATAAGAAATGGATGGCGTAGTACACAGTTGGATGATGTAGTACACATAAAATTGGGTCCCTTTTTATCTCTTGACCACCACTTTCAAAACTACTATCTGAAATGAATCAAAAGTTCTGGAACATAACTTTAAGAGGCATCAATCAAATGCATTTGGTATGTCATCATAGTGATCTCTGACTTGTGGTCAGACTCGCTCAGGAAGAACAAACTTAAACTTGCGCATTTTTTCAATGCTGAATTGAATGTCATTGAGACAACAGAAAGGTGTCATAATGTATTTTCTGCAAACACAATTTCTGAACTTAATTCCCCGGGCTCCGATGATTTGGACTTCGATTAAGGCAGGCCCCCGCACCTCTCTGATTCAAAGGGGTTGGGTTAAATGCAGAAGAGACATTTCGGTTGAATGCATTCAGTTGTGCAACTGACTAGGTATCCCCTTTCCCATCCCTAAAAGTAATCCAAGAAGTAATCATCCAGTTTTTCAAAAGTATCTGTAGTCTGATTACAATATTTTAGCTGGTAACGTAACTGATTACAGTAAATAAATAAAAAATGTGTGTAAGGAATAATACCATCTGTAATGCCTGGACAGTCTCAGTGTATCCTAGTGTTGTTTTAGTATAGTATGTTTAAGAGGAACTGAGTGTGCCTCTTAGTTCCCCCTACAGATGTAGGATCTTAATTTGAGCAAGTTTGCTACAGCAGGAAAATTATTCTGCAGCAACAGGAAATGTGAATTATTATGTGGATTATAATTAATGCACATTTTTCATATAAAGATTATCCTGCAACAGGGTGATCAAATTAACATCCTACACCTGTATGTCTCAGCAGGTCCTGTGTGCCTGTTTCAGTGAGATTAAAAAGATATCGGTACTCAATTTACTGTTATCATACCAGGGTTAACATTTTAGAACTGGTACTTGATACCAGGTGCTGGTACTCAAACAGTAGAAAATTAGAGAAGGCAAATCTCTGTACCCTCTTTAACCACTGGCCTGCATATGTCTCTTTAGTGTGAGCTTCTCAGTCTCAGTGTGTGTGTGTGTGTGTGTGTGTGTGTGTGTGTGTGTGTGTGTGTGTGTGTGTGTGTGTGTGTGTGTGTGTGTGTGTGTGTGTGTGTGTGTGTGTGTGTGTGTGTGTGTGTGTGTGTGTGTGTGTGTGTGTGTGTGTGTGTGTGTGTGTGTGTGTGTGTGTGTGTGTGTGTGCGTGCGTGCATATGTGTGTGTGTGTGTCTTCTCTCCCAGGTGTTCTGGCCCCAGGCTGAAGAGTTTTATGTTGTCATCTGTTCCTGTTCTCTCCTGGCTGCCTCGCTACTCCCTCAGAGACAACGCCGTCGGAGACCTGATCTCAGGCATCAGTGTGGGCATCATGCACCTACCACAAGGTCTGATTGCCTGACTAAATATAACCTTGTATTATTACCCTGTTACCATCATTAATAACCATATAATAACCATCTTTGAGTAACTTTGGAATATTAATATATTTTGTGTCACTGTAGGGATGGCTTATGCTCTGCTAGCAGCAGTGCCCCCAGTGTTTGGTCTGTACTCCTCCTTTTACCCCATCCTCATCTACTTCATCTTTGGGTCGTCCAAACACATCTCTGTGGGTAAGTAGTTTGCTATATAGAGAGTACAAACCATGTTTAATGTTTTATGTCACACACAGAGACCATGGGTCCTACTAATCACCCCAAACAATCCAAAACAACCCCAAACAACCCAAAATAACCTAATAAACCTATACATGCACAAACATTTCAGTCATACATTTTTATTATTTCTGCTATCGTGACCATATAGAATATAGAATCCTGAACCCAATATATCACAAACCAGACCGAAACGTGAACCAACCTCTAATTTGGGTGGTTTCGTGTTGTTTTGGTAGCCTGTTTGTGGTTCTTTTGGGTACTTCTGTGTTGTTTTGGGTACCTGTTTGTGGTTGTTTGTGGTTGTTTTGGGAACTTTTGAATTGTTTTGAGTACTTTGGGGGCTGTTTTGGGTACTTCTGTGTTGTTTTGGGTACCTGTTTGAGGTTGTTTGTGGTTGTTTTGGGTACTTCTGGGTACTTTAAGGTCATTTTGGGTAACTGTTTGTGGTTGTTTGTGGTTGTATTGGGTACTTTTGGGTTGTTTTGGGTAATTTAGGGTTGTTTTGGGTACCTGTTTGGTGTGGTTTGGGGTTATTTGGGGTGATTAGTAGGACCCGAGACGACTACACCTTATGACTCATTTTGCCATCCAGTGAACACAACTAATGTTATGCCTAGAGTCAGAACATTAATTTCAAACGAACTACTTTATGTATATAAACCTTAACCCTAACCTCTCTCTCTTAGGTACATATGCAGTGATGAGTGTGATGATCGGGGGAGTGACCGAGCGCTTGGCCCCAGACTCTAACTTCATGATGTATGATAACGCCACCAATGAGAGTACGGTGGATGTTTTTGCTCGAGACACGGAGCGGGTGAAAGTGGCTGCTGCCGTTACTTTCATGTCCGGCCTCTTCCAGGTAAATCTGACTGAACGTCAACTGCATGCCACAAGACTGTTAGCCTGCTGAGCTAAAGCCTAGGAAGTCTTTAGGTCTCAGGCAAGGTTAGTCATCATTACTTATCTCCGAAATACCTGTTATATTAGCAGAGATTGTATGACAGCTTCTCACATATGTGTGTGTGTGTGTGTGTAGATGCTCCTGGGCCTGGTTCAGTTTGGCTTTGTGGTGACCTACCTGTCTGAGCCCCTGGTCAGAGGGTACACCACCGGAGCAGCCATCCACGTCATCGTCTCTCAGCTCAAGTACACCTTTGGTATCAGTCCACAACGCTACAGTGGACCCTTCTCCCTGATCTTTGTAAGTACTACAAACACACATAGGCATGGGCATTAGGGTCCTACACTCATGTGGTGGTGCCCTCTATGGGTGGGGGAAAGAACTGCCTCTGCCATTTTCTACTGATATGCAGTAAAGTGGACACCCCCACACAAAACTCTCACATCGCGACGAGAGAGAGCGAACGACACGTCGATATAAAAGAGGACGGAATCACGGGAAAAGGAATCAGGGATAGAAGTGAGCTAGTTCAGCAGGGAGACGAGGGAGAGAGAGAGGAGAAGAGAGAGAGAGAGGAGGAGGAGAGAGGAGAGGGACAAGAGGAGAGAAAGAGAAGAGAGAGAGGAGAGCGAGGGCGAGAGAGGGAGCAGCAGGGAAGAGCGTCGCTCTCCTCTGCTTCTCTCTCTCTCTCATCTCTATCTCGCTCTCTCTCTCTCTCTCTCTCGCTCTCTCTCATCTCTCTCTCTCTCTCTCTTTGTAGACAGTGATAGAGGTGTGCTATCTGGTGCCAGAGACCAACATAGGCACCCTAGTGGTGAGCCTGGTGTCCATCATTGGCCTCATCAGCGTCAAGGAGCTCAACACCTACCTGGGCAAAAAGCTGCCGGTACCCATTCCTGTAGAGCTGCTAGGCGTGAGTCACAGTCCCACTCCTCCTACACCCAACAGAGGACAAACAGATTAGTTCCCACTGTGAAAATTAGACCAAATGACTGGCAGTGAGCTAAAATTGGTTTGTGCATAAACAATGGATAACGAAGTGGAGTAGGAGAAACACTGTTAATGTAGAACAAAAATATAGTAACTTTATTAGTACCACATAAACAGCCAAACATTATTTTGATGAAAGTACAACATAAAGTACTGTAACAATTATCTATCTGTGAAAATAGTTGCTCTCTCTATCTCTCTCGGACAACATTGACTTTAATAGCAGAATTTATTTTGACAAAAGATTATCTGGAAATAATGTATAATGTGCACTACAATCTGTCCATTTATCTTTATTTTTATTTTGTTGTTGTAATTTTGTAACCCCCTTTTTCTCCCCAATTTCGTGACTACAATCTTGTCTAATTGCTGCAACTCCCAACGGGCTCGGGAGAGGCGAAGGTCGAGTCATGCGTCCTCTGAAACATGACCCGCCAAACCGCGCTTCTTAACATCCGCTCGTGTAACCCGGAAGCCAGCTGCACCAATGTGTCGGAGGAAACACTGTTCAACTGACGACCGAAGTCAGCCTGCAGGCACCCGGCCCGCCACAAGGAGTCGCTAGAGCACGATGAGCCAAGTAAAGCCCCCTCGGCCAAACCCTACCTTAACCCAGACGACGCTGGGCCAATTGTGCGCCGCCCTATGGGACTCCCGGGCACGGCCAGGGATCGAATCCCAGGCTGTAGTGGCGCCGCAACACTGCGATGCAGTGCCTTAGACCGCTGCACCACTCGGGAGGCCCTAATCTGTCCGTTTCTAATGTGGGTTTAGACATTGCATTCATCTCTTCGTCTTTCTGTCTGTCTGTCGTCAGATCATCATCGCCACGGTGATCTCCTGGCAGGTCAACCTGGAGGGGAAGTATGGAGTGGAAGTGGTGGGAGAGATCCCCTCTGGGTGAGGAGAGGAGCATTATACACACATAGAGATACCACACAGATACATAACCACATAGATACACAACCACAGATACATAACCACATAGATAAACAACCACATAGATGCACAACAACATACAGTACATGCACAGCCATAACAGCCCACATCCCAGATACTCAGTCACGTAGTCTACCTACACAACCACTTGTACAGATGGCATTATACCTAGATACACAACCACCAAACTACAGTACACAACATGATCACACAAAGATATCCTTGTCAAGGAGAATAACAGTTACCCTTGTTTCTCTTCCCTAGTCTACAGCCCCCTGTCATGCCTACAGCCTCTCTATTTGGGCAGGTGATAGGTGATGCCTTCGCTCTGTCTGTGGTTGGCTACGGCATTGCCATCTCCCTCGGACGGATCTTTGCCCTAAAATATGGCTACAAAGTTGACAGCAACCAGGTAAAAATATTGTCAATGACTATGTGATTGGAAATCTTTCTGGGTGTGGTTGTTGTAATGTGTGGCATGCACTGCTTGTGAATGACTGTTTGTGCTATACACTCCCCTATTTACTGAAGAAAGTGGTCTCTTCCTGGTTTAGGAATTGATAGCCCTGGGTCTCAGCAACTCCATCGGAGGGGTGTTTCAGTGCTTTGCAATCAGTTGCTCCATGTCCCGCACCATGGTACAGGAAAGCACTGGGGGCAAGACTCAGGTACAGACTCATCTCATTATGACAGTAATCATACATTATTCTGTTGCATTGATAACTGGGTTCATTAAAAAACACTCAAAGCGTTCATTAAAACCCACATCACAAACCCACGTGGATTCCTTAAAACACAAGTAATTAGTTGTCTAGCACTTCAATTCAACAGCCAGGGCTCAATATTCACAACACTACGCAATTACAGGAGGGCCTGGTTGTTGTCTGTTTTAACCCTCAATGATCCAGCTCTTTCTTTCTTTTCTTATATCTCTCTCTCTTCTCCCAGGTGGCGAGTGCTCTTTCAGCCATGGTGATTCTGGTCATCATGCTGTGGATTGGGGCTCTCTTTGAAGAGCTGCCAAAGGTACCATTCTATTGGCTGTTGGTTTATAGACTGAGGTGGTTCTGTGTGTGATTGTGATTGGTGGCTGTCTCTCTGTCCACTAGGCCGTGTTGGCAGCCATCATCTATGTGAACCTGCATGGCATGATGAAGCAGTTCATGGACATCCCAACTCTGTGGAAGAGCAATAAAGTTGATATGGTGAGAGAGAGATAGAGGGCAGGGGGAGTAAGGGTAAGGTGTTATAGAGGGGATCGGGGTGAGATGAAGGAGAAAAGCGGAGAAAGAGAATAGAGGGGTGAAACGGGAGGATGAGTTAGATTTTATTTAATTGGTTTCTCATCACAGAGGTAATATAATCCCATAGTAGAAACAGAAGTCTCAGTGGTAAAGTGAGAGAGTTTAATGAGGGAGGAGGATGTGTGTTAACTCTGGGGTTTTCCTCTGTCTGCCCCCCTCCCTCTCTCCCTAGCTGGTGTGGGTGGCCACTCTGATCCTGACTGTGCTCTTCAACCCTGACCTGGGCCTGGCAGCCTCCATTGCCTTCTCCATGCTCACGGTCATCTTCAGGACCCAGCTGTGAGTATACAACCGCTCACACATACACTACCAGTCAAAAGTTTGGACACAGATCACCTGGCCTCCACAATCCCCCGACCTCAACCCAATTGAGATGGTTTGGGATGAGTCGGACCGCATAGTGAAGGAAAAGCAGCCAACAAGTGCTCAGCATATGTGGGAACTCCTTCAAGACTATTGGAAAAGCATTCCAGGTGAAGTTGGTTGAGAGAATGCCAAGAGTGTGCAAAGCTGTCATCAAGGCAAAGGGTGGCTATTTGAAGAATCTCAAATATAAAATATATATTTTGATTTGTTTAACACTTTTTTGGTTACTACATGATTCCATATGTGTTATTTCATAATTTTGATGTCTTCACTATTATTCTACAATGTAGAAAATAGTAAAAATAATAAAAAACCTTGAATGAGTAGGTGTGTCCAAACTTTTGACTGGTACTGTACACTAGCGCGTACACACTCACACACACAAAACTCTATCCCAGACAGACTCCATCTAACCACGAACCTCAAACACTACTCATTTTAATTTACCCCACACGTCATTAAACTACCCATTCACTCTTTAAAGTCATTTTAACAGATTTAAAAGGGACTAGATGTCTCATCTGCTCCACTTCTGAAACTATGTTTGAAAAAACATACCAAATTGTGTAATAAATCGTGTGTTAAATCCCTACACTTGTCTATTTGTCCGTTTAAGGCCGAAGTACTCCCTCCTAGGGCAGGTCCCTGAGACTGACATCTACAGACCAGTGGAGAACTATAATCAGGTATGCATCCATGGCAACCAGATATATAAATATACAGTACGTATTCAGTTACTCTCTAATCATACCGCCACTCCAATCAAGAGGGAGTCTTTAACTTGTAGGTACCAGGTCTATGTCTGTGAAGGTGTTTCACTTTGGTTTTCTACAGTATATCAGTTGTAAGGTTTCCCCTAGATACAGATTTAGGATCAGCTTCCCCTCCCTCAAACATATGTTTAAAGCTAGAATCATTAGTTGCTACATCCATTTTTGGACGTATACATTAATTATATAGACCCATTGATTCTAGAAGAATATAACTTATAAATGCCATAACGGTCGTAACCGATCAGAACCCAAAATATAAGCTTGTTTTACTCCAATGTTTGTAAACAATGTAAATGTAAACAAACACTGTATAGCCTCAAAACATGGTTAAAACTATCATTGTGATATCATGGATGGTCAGTCCTTGCATCCATCGCTCTGTCTATGAATTTGAGAGTGGATACATTTCTCCAGGCCCATCCCTCAGCTTTTTACCAAAACAGAGGCAGGGTAACCACTTTTGTATTTTTTCAATCATAGCCGTGAGAAATAGGGGTGCTGAGGGTGATGCCAGCACCCCCTGAAAAATCATAAATGAATAAAAATATGAATACAAATATTTATTTTTTCCCAGAAGTAGTGCACTGGGTACTGTATTAGTGGACCGATATAGATGTCTGTAGCGCGGGCAAACATTCTAAGCCCCCCCCACTCCCAAACTACTTCCAGCGGCTATGCCCATGATCAGTGTCTAGGGGCAACTCTGTGTAATGGCTATGTTTCATCATTCTTGTTAGTCTTTATTATAATAAGAGCATTGATATAAATAACCATTGTCTCTCAGGTGAAGGAGGTCCCTGGTGTGGTGATATTCCGCTCCTCTGCCACCCTCTACTTTGCCAACGCTGAGATGTACCAAGACGCCCTGGCAGAGAAGGTGAGGTCACAGGAATTACTATGCACTACTGTCACGCCCTGACTCAGGGGACTCTTATTTGTTGAGTCAGGGTGTGTATATTCTATGTTGTGTAGTTCTATGTTGTCATTCTAGTATGTGTAGATCTATGTTGGCCGGTGTGGTTCCCAATCAGAGGCAGCTGTCGCTCGTTGTCTCTGATTGGAGATCATACTTAGGCAGCCTATTGGCACTCGTTAGTTGTGGGATCTTGTTCTGTGTGTAGGCTTGTTTTGTGTTCAGCCTTAGGACTTCACGTTTCGTTTGGTTTGTTGTTTTGTCGTGTGTTTATCAGTTAATAAACATGTACGCATTTCACGCTGCGCCTTGGTCTGACCTGTCCTTAAACGAACGTGACAGAAGATCCCACCAAACACGGACCAAGCAGCGTGCCCAGGAGGACCGAACACCCTGGACACAGGTGGGGAAGATTTGGTCTTGGGAGGAGATATTTGCGGGGAAAGGACCATGGGCGAAGGAGAGGAAGCCGGCCGAGGAGGAAGCCCGAGAAGCAGCCCCAAGAACAATTTTTGGGGGGGCTAAAGGGGTGGTCAGGGAGCGAGAGAGAAGAGCCCCGACCACTGCACCCGGTGGGTTTCCAGATTAATTCCCTACGACCATGGGAAGAAGAGTGGGAACAGTTCTATACTGAGGATTCGGAGGATGACGACGACAATGAGTTTCGGCAGTGCCGAGAGTGAGAGAAGGATTGGATCTGCAGGGTAAGAGAGGAGGCCACCACATTACGGGGGCTGATAGCTAGAATGGAGCGAGAGAGATCCATTCAAGAGGAGGCACTGCAGGAGGCTCGTAGGGAGAAGGAGGAAGTAGAGGCACGGAGAGAGGAGCTGGTTAGGCAGCATAAGGAGCGGGGGTTAATAGAGGAACCCAGTTATGCAGAGCTACGTACTGTGCTAGCACCACGCACGTGCCGTGCTAAAATGGGCATCCAGCCAGGATGGGTTGTGCCAGCTCTCCGCTCCAGACCTCCAGTCCGCCTCCACAGTCCGGTCCGGCCCGTTCCTGCTCCTCGCACTAGGCCAGTGGTGCGTGTTCCCAGTCTGGCCCGGCCCGTTCCTGCTCCTCGCACGAGGCCAGTGGTGCGTGTTTCCAGTCTGGCCCGGCCCGTTCCTGCTCCTCGCACCAGACTAGTGGTGCGTGTTCCCATCCGGCCTGTTCCTGCTCCTCGCACCAGGCCAGTGGTGCGTGTTCCCAGTCCGGCCCAGCCCATTCCTGCTCCTCGCACCAGACTAGTGGTGCGTGTTCCCAGTCCGGCCCGGCCTTTTCCTGCTCCTCGCACCAAGCCAGTGGTGCGTGTCGCCAGTCCGGCCCGGCCTGTTCCTGCTCCTCGCACCAAGCCAGTGGTGCGTGTTCCCAGTCCGGCCCGGCCTGTTCCTGCTCCTCGCACCAAGCCAGTGGTGCGTGTCGCCAGTCCGGCCCGGCCTGTTCCTACTCCTCGCACCAAGCCAGTGGTGCGTGTTCCCAGTCCGGCCCGGCCTGTTCCTGCTCCTCGCACCAAGCCAGTGGTGAGTGTCGCCAGTCCGGCCCGGCCCGTTCCTGCTCCTCGCACCAAGCCAGTGGTGCATGTTCCCAGTCCGGCCCGGCCCGTTCCTGCTCCTTGCACCAAGCCAGTGGTGCGTGTCGCCAGTCCGGCCCGGCCCGTTCCTGCTCCTCGCACCAAGCCAGTGGTGCGTGTTCCCAGTCCGGCACGGCCTGTTCCTGCTCCTCGCACCAAGCCAGTGGTGCGTGTTGCCAGTCCGGCCCGGCCCGTTCCTGCTCCTCACACCAAGCCAGTGGTGCGTGTTCCTAGTCCGGTCCGGCCTTGCCTGCTCCTCGCACCAGACCAGTAGTGCACGTGTCCAGTCCGGCACGGCCCGTGCCCGTTCCACCGGAGCCTGATCCGGCACCGGTCAGCTGCTCCACTCCGGAGCCAGAGCAGTCCGCTCCACCGGGGTCCAGTCCAGCTCCGGTCAGCGGCTCCACTCCGGAGCAAGAGCAGTCTGCTCCACCGGTGCCCAGTCCAGCTCCGGGCTTGGAGTTTCGTGGGAGGAAGGAGAGGGGAAGCAGCGCGCCGAGGTCCAGACCAGACCAGGGGTGCAACAGGGAGGCGGAGAGTATGTGGTCGTCACGCCCGGAGCCGGATCCGCCTCCGAGGCGGAATGCCCACCCGGCCCCTACCCTGTTATGTAAAGGTTGTGTGGTCGGAGTTCGCACCTTTGGGGGGGGGGTACTGTCACGCCCTGACTCTGGGGACTCCTATATGTTGAGTCAGGGTGTGTATATTCTATGTTGTGTTTTCTATGTTGTCATTCTAGTATGTGTAGATCTATGTTGGCCGGTGTGGTTCCCAATCAGAGGCAGCTGTCGCTCGTTGTCTCTGATTGGGGATCATACTTTGGCACTCGTTAGTTGTGGGATCTTGTTCTGTGTGTAGGCTTGTTTTGTGTTCAGCCTTAGGACTTCACGTTTCGTTTGGTTTGTTGTTTTGTCGTGTGTTTATCAGTTAATAAACATGTACGCATTTCACGCTGCGCCTTGGTCTGACCCGTCCTTAAACGAACGTGACAACTACACAAGCATACTTTAACGAATTGGCAAAATGCCTGACCCATTTTGCTTACATTCTGCTGTGTGCGTATCGAGAGCGTGACAGACATTGTTAAGATGTCATCCATTCCTCTCTCCTCTACACCCCCCATTATGCTGTCATGTTCCAAGGCAGGAACGGTAAAATATGATAGAATGTCTCACTCCCTTGCTATTGTGTCTCCAGAGTGGGATTGACATCACCAAGCTCATCTCCCAAAAGAAGAAAGCGGAGGCCAAGAGACTGAGGAAGGAAAAGAAAGAGGCCAGGAAAGCCAAGAAGGACGCGAAGAAGAATGCACAGGAACTGGTGAGGAGGAGGAGTGACACTGAAAAGAGAGAGATCATTCCAGTCTGTTTGTATATCTCCAATGTAATCCACTAATCGGGTCAATGTGTTAGAGTATTGGATTCATATGCAGGTAATGTGTTGGGTGAGTGTCTTATGGATGATCCATCCATGTGTTGTCAAATCAAGTCAAATCAAATCAAATTTTATTGGTCACATGCGCCGAATACAACAGGTGCAGACATTACAGTGAAATGCTTACTTACAGCCCTTAACCAACAGAGCATTATTTATTATTAAATAAAACAACAACAAAAAAAGTGTTGAGAAAAAAAGTAAAATAAAATAACAGTAGGGAGGCTATTTGTACAGGGGGGTACCAGTGCAGAGTCAATGTGCGGGGGCAGGTAGTTGAAGTAATATGTACATGTGGGTAGAGTTAAAGTGACTATGCATAACTAATTAAATTCCATTCCAGGAAGGGGAGCCAGACAGTTCAGAGAATGAGGTGGAGAAGGATGTGGCCACAGTGGAGGAAGGGAGTAAACCTGACTCTACCCTGCCTCATGCCATCATCCTGGAACTGAGTCCAGTCAACTTCCTGGATACTGTGGGCGTCAAGACTCTACGCAATGTGAGTTGTTTGTCTGCACTGCTGTCCATCTCACTCAACCTGTTAACCTTTTCTGCCAGTTCACCTCTCTCTCTCTCTCTCTCTCTTTTCTCTGATAAAATGCAATGTTGCCAAAATGAGACGCAAAATGAATGGAGCAGTCTCTTTCTCTCTCTCTGACCTGACCTTTGACCTCTCTCTGGTGCTGCTTCAGATCCAAAGAGACTACGGTGATATCGGTGTAGAGGTAGTCCTGTGTGGATGTCAGAGTGAGTGTTACATTTTCCATTTACTATTACCAAAACCTCCATGCTAAACATACAGCACTGTAATATGCATACCCTGGGTGCTGAAAATAGTGGGTGTTCCTGTAGTTGTTTCTGTGTGTTTCCCATTATGTTTTCCAAGTTATTTACTTGCATTCTCTTATGTAATTAGGGAAATTGCTTATCATGACTGATTATACAGGCCAAATCACTAAAGTGACCAATGTTTATGTAGTTTGGAATGTTGATTAACCATAATTATGAATGTTTGATCACATCTCTCACTCTCTCTACATCCATTCCTCCCTCCTCTCTCTCTCTCTCTCTCTCTTGCTCTCTCTTTCTGTAGCTGGTGTTATTGAGAACCTGGAGAGTGGAGGGTTCTTCAGTGAGAAAGTCAGTAAAGCGTGTCTCTTCTCCTCAATCCACGATGCTGTGCTTTACTGTCAGACAGACAGGGCCCAGATGAACAATGATGACGAGGTGAAACATACTAACGCACATGGGCACGACGTGCACACACACACACAAGCATGTGCACACACACACACACACACACATTATTTTACAAAAATAATGTGAACTTGTTTATATTGTTTATACACACAAATCGTTATTTTCAAACATTTGGTTTTGTGAGGTTTAGGTGTTGGTTGCTGGCAGCTCTGTTTTAGTGTTTAGTTGCAAGCGTAACTCTTCTACAGCTCCACAGGGAAATCTCACATGTTTATGGTAGTTGGTCAGTGAACACACACACTACAGTCAGGGAACGTTTTACGAGTGATCAGTCAGGTTATACTGATAGATCCAGAAAAGCCTTCTCTGAAAGTGTCTAGAGGTGTTTGGAATACAAAGCCTCTGACCTAAGCTATGTTATGAATCTGCTGAGGGTGCTGGTTGTGTTGAAACAGGAAGTGCCATTAACTTTAACAAGATCTTCCTCTCAAACCGTCAAACTCAGTCTGGGGCTGCTGATGTTATGTGCAGGGTGGCCCCAAACATCTATGTGACTATACAAGAGTGGTCCACAATGTACGTGACCCTGAGTGGAGCTTTTGTCTTTAGTTACACTGTAGTTGCTAACTATTTATAACCAAACCAGCCATGGTATAACACTCTCTCCTCTCCTCTTTTCTCCCCACTCTCTCTCTCTCTCTTGCTCTCCCTCTCCTGTCTTTCTCTATCTCCCTCTCTGCTCTCTAGGAAATGCAAGCGACTCATTTCTGAATACAGAGGGTAATGGAGGTGTCTTACTGTATGGTATATTGGTACTTATTAGAAAGTTCAGAATACTTGACATTCATAGTGTCCACATATTTTTTGACACAGAAAGAAAGTATGAAAGAAACAATGTATCAAAAAGAGACACACAGACAAACACTTCAACAATGAGACTCACAAACCTTGACAACCCCAGATTGAGGTTAGCCTTGTACTCCATGTAATGTGCCAATGATGTACATTGAAACAGAAAAATATTATTCTATGACCTTCCTCTAACCAAATAGATACACCTTTGGGGAAACTTTTATATTGAAAGATATTTACATATTCTGTGCTAAATAAACAATATTATATTTATTGTTTAAATTGTTAATACATATTTTTTTGTTCTAAAAACATGTTCCTCTTCATACCTAGCTTTATATTTGTTGTAGGAAGAATAACGTTAGCTATCTGTTGTGATTGTAAACATACATGTTAGATTCTATATTGCAGGGATGCATTGTGTTCAGAGTCATATCAAATCAAATCATATCACATTTTATTTGTCACATGCGCCGAATACAACAGGTGTAGACCTTACCGTGAAATGCTTACTTACAAGCCCTTAAGCAACAATGCAGTTGAATAAATAAAGTTACGAAAATATTTACTAAATAGACTAAAGTAAAAATTAAAAGTAACACAATAAAATGACATAACAATAATGAGACAAAATACAGGGGGTACCAGTACCGAGTCAATGTGCAGGGGTACAGGTTAGTCCAGGTAGTTTGTACATGTAGGTTGGGGTAAAGTGACTATCCATAGATATCAGTTCAATGTCAAATGTTCAATGTCAATCAAAATAATGACTTAATACTTGACATTCATATTGTGTCCACATATATTTTGACACAGAAAGTATGAAAGAAACAATGTATCAAAAAGAGACACACAGACAAACACTTCAACAACGAGACTCACAAACCTTGACAACCCCAGATTGATGTTAGCCTTGTACTCCATGTAATGTGCCAATGATGTACATTGAAACAGAATAATATTATTCTATGACCTTCCTCTAACCAAATAGATACACCTTTGGGGAAACTTTTATATTGAAAGATATTTACATATTCTCTGCTAAATAAACTATTTTATATTTATTGTTTAAATTGTTAATAAATATTTTTTTGTTATTAAAACATGTTCCTCTTCATTCCTAGCTATATATTTGTTGTAGGAAGAATAATGTTAGCTATCTGTTGTGATTGTCAACATACACATTAGACTCTATATTGCAGGGATGCATTGTGTTCAGAGTCATATCTACAGTACCAGTCAAAAGTTTGGACACACCTACTCATTCCAGGTTTTTCTTTATTTTTACAATTTTCTATATTGTAGAATAATAGTGAAGACATCAAAACTATGAAATAACAAATATGAAATCATGTAGTAACCCAAAAAGAGTTAAACTAATCAAAATATATGTTATATTTGAGATTCTTCAAATAGCCACCCTTTGCCTTGATGACAGCTTTGCACACTCTTGGCATTCTCTCAACCAGCTTCACCTGGAATGTTTTTCCAACAGTCTTGAAGGAGTTCCCACATAAGCTGAGCACTTGTTGGCTGCTTTTCCTTCACTCTGCGGTCCGACTCATCCCAAACCATCTCAATTGGGTTGAGGTCGGGGGATTGTGGAGGCCAGGTTATCTGATGCAACACTCCATCACTCTCCTTCTTGGTCAAATAGCCCTTACACAGCCTGGAGGTGTGTTGGGTCATTGTCCTGTTGAAAAACAAATGATAGTCCCACTAAGCCCAAACCAGATGGGATGGCGTATCGCTGCAGAATGCTGTGGTAGCCATGCTGGTTAAGTGTGCCTTGAATTCTAAATAAATCACAGACAGTGTCACCAGCATGGCTCCATGCTTTATGGTGGGAAATACACATGAAGAGATCATCCGTTCACCCACACCGCGTCTCACAAGGCCACGTAGGTTGGAACCAAAAATCTCAAATTTGGACTCCAGACCAAAGGACACATTTCCACCGGTCTAATGTCCATTGCTCGTGTGTCTTGGCCCAAGCAAGTCTCTTCTTCTTATTGGTGTCCTTTAGTAGTGGTTTCTTTGCAGCAATTTGACCATGAAAGCCTGATTAACACGGTCTCCTCTGAACAGTTGATGTTGAGATGTGTCTGTTACTTGAACTCTGTGAAGCATTTATTTGGGCTGCAATTTCGGAGGCTGGTAACTCTAATGAACTTATCCTATGCAGCAGAGGTAACTCTGGGTCTTCCATTCCTGTGGTGGTCCTCATGAGAGCCAGTTTCATCATAGCGCTTGATGGTTTTTGCGACCACTTGAAGAAACTTTCAAAGTTCTTGAAATGTTCCGTATTGACTGACCTTCATGTCTGAAAGTAATGATGGACTGTCGTTTCTCTTTGCTTTTTTGAGCTGTTCTTGCCATAATATGGACTTGGTCTTTTACCAAATAGGGCTATCTTCTGTATACCCCCCCCTACCTTGTCACAACACAACTGATTGGCTCAAATGCATTAAGAAGGAAAGACATTCCACAAATTCACTTTTAAGAAGGCACACCTGTTAATTGAAATGCATTCCAGTTGACTAACTCATGAAGCTGGTTGAGAGAATGCCAAGAGTGTGCAAAGCTGTCATCAAGGCAAAGGGTGGCTGAAGAATCTCAAATATAAAATATATATTTTGATTTGTTTAACACTTTTTTGGTTACTACATGATTCCATATGTGTTATTTCATAGTTTTGATGTCTTCACTATTATTCTACAATGTAAAAAATAGTAAAAATAAAGAACAACCCTCAAATGAGTAGGTGTGTCCAAACTTTTGACTGGTAGTGTATATCAGTTCAATGTCAAATGTTCAATGTCAATCAAAATAATGACTTAATGTTCAATAGTATCTGCATGTGCTGTGTCATATAATCTTCATTTACTGATGTAGCTAACAGCTTGTGCTCAGGATGCAGAAGCATGATGTATAGGTAAGTTGTTCTCTCATGCTCTACCACCCAAGGCAGTGTTCAGAGTGTCAACAATTATACATGCTGCCAATATCTCTTCAAGGCACAGTGTCATGAGAGAGTGTGACAAAAGACTGCATGATTTGCATGATATTGAGAGACTGAGAAACAGCTTCTATCACCAGGCCATCAGACTGTTGAACAGCCATCACTAGCCAGCTACAGTGGGGAAAAAAAGTATTTAGTCAGCCACCAATTGTGCAAGTTCTCCCACTTAAAAAGATGAGAGAGGCCTGTAATTTTCATCATAGGTACACGTCAACTATGACAGACAAAATGAGAAGAAAAAAATCCAGAAAATCACATTGTAGGATTTTTAATGAATTTATTTGCAAATTATGGTGGAATATAAGTATTTGGTCAATAACAAAAGTTTCTCAATACTTTGTTATATACCCTTTGTTGGCAATGACACAGGTCAAACGTTTTCTGTAAGTCTTCACAAGGTTTTCACACACTGTTGCTGGTATTTTGGCCCATTCCTCCATGCAGATCTCCTCTAGAGCAGTGATGTTTTGGGGCTGTCGCTGGGCAACACGGACTTTCAACTCCCTCCAAAGATTTTCTATGGGGTTGAGATCTGGAGACTGGCTAGGCCACTCCAGGACCTTGAAATGCTTCTTACGAAGCCACTCCTTCGTTGCCCGGGCGGTGTGTTTGGGATCATTGTCATGCTGAAAGACCCAGCCACGTTTCATCTTCAATGCCCTTGCTGATGGAAGGAGGTTTTCACTCAAAATCTCACGATACATGGCCCCATTCATTCTTTCCTTTACACGGATCAGTCATCCTGGTCCCTTTGCAGAAAAACAGCCCCAAAGCATGATGTTTCCACCCCCATGCTTCACAGTAGGTATGGTGTTCTTTGGATGCAACTCAGCATTCTTTGTCCTCTAAACACGACAAGTTGAGTTTTTACCAAAAAGTTATATTTTGGTTTCATCTGACCATATGACATTCTCCCAATCCTCTTCTGGATCATCCAAATGCACTCTAGCAAACTTCAGACGGGCCTGGACATGTACTGGCTTAAGCAGGGGGACACATCTGGCACTGCAGGATTTGAGTCCCTGGTGGCATAGTGTGTTACTGATGGTAGGCTTTGTTACTTTGGTCCCAGCTCTCTGCAGGTCATTCACTAGGTACCCCCGTGTGGTTCTGGGATTTTTGCTCACCGTTCTTGTGATCATTTTGACGCCACGGGGTGAGATCTTGCGTGGAGCCCCAGATCGAGGGAGATTATCAGTGGTCTTGTATGTCTTCCATTTCCTAATAATTGCTCCCACAGTTGATTTCTTCAAACCAAGCTGCTTACCTATTGCAGATTCAGTCTTCCCAGCCTGGTGCAGGTCTACAATTTTGTTTCTGGTGTCCTTTGACAGCTATTTGGTCTTGGCCATAGTGGAGTTTGGAGTGTGACTGTTTGAGGTTGTGGACAGGTGTCTTTTATACTGATAACAAGTTCAAACAGGTGCCATTAATACAGGTAACGAGTGGAGGACAGAGGAGCCTCTTAAAGAAGAAGTTACAGGTCTGTGAGAGCCAGAAATCTTGCTTGTTTGTAGGTGACCAAATACTTATTTTCCACCATAATTTGCAAATAAATTCATTAAAAATCCTACAATGTGATTTTCTGGATTTTTTCTCTCTCAATTTGTCTGTCATAGTTGACGTGTACCTATGATGAAAATTACAGGCCTCTCTCATCTTTTTAAGTGGGAGAACTTGCACAATTGGTGGCTGACTAAATACTTTTTTTCCCCACTGTACCTTCCCGGTACTCTGCCCTGCACCTTGAGACTAATGCCCCATGTATAGAGAGACATTGAACACTGGCCACGTCATATATTGTTTATACACTGTTGTTTACTCACTGTGTATGTATATACTGTATTCTTGACATAACTCATCCTAATATACCTACTACTGTACATACCATTTTCTTTTCCAAATTATATACTGTTTATACACACCACATATTTATATTTTTATTCTGGATTCTGACACTGCTCACACTAATATACGTGTCTACTTGGATTGTTAATTGGACTCATTCTGACATTTCTTGATTTCTTGTTTTAGATTTTTAGATTATTTGTGTATTTGTATTGCATTTGCTAGACATTCTACTGCACTAATGGAGCCAGCTAGTAACATAAGCATTTTGCTGCACCTGTTATAACACCTGTAAATCTGTGTACACAACCAATAAACTTTGATTTGATATATTTAGTGTTTAGTTGCAAGAGTGACTCTTCTACAGCGCCACATGGAGATTTCATGTTTATGGTAGTTGGTCAGGGAACACACACACTACAGTCGGAACGTTTTACGAGTGATCAGTCAAGTTATACTGATAGATCCTGAAAAGCCTTCTCTGAAAGCGTCAAGAGGTGTTTGGACTACAAAGCCTCTGACCTAAGCCTCTCTAAAGCATTGTGCAGAGACTATGTTGTGAAACTGTTGTGGGTGCTGGTTGTGTTGAAACAGGAAGTGACATTAACTTTAGAAAACTCAGTATGGGGCCGCTGACGTTATGTGCAGGGTGGCCCCAAATATCTATGTGATTTGATATCATGTTTCTGGATCATAATGCATTAGCCTACAATGTCCACACCCAGATCCATGTACACCATTCCAGGGCATCACAGTAACTTCACTTTTCTCCTTTCTGTACCTTAATGTTTTTCTTAAATTCTTAGTATGTAACTTACCTGTTATTACTTCAAGGACACTCAAGAGTCAATGAGGACATAATGGTGGATAAGGCAATAATAGTGTCAAAACACTGGTTCATTCTAGTTTATCTGCATATTTCACTGTGTATGTATTCATGCATGAATGTTTTCTTTATTTCTCTCTCTCTCTCTGTACATGTGTGTGGGTTTGTGTGTATCTCTGTGTGTGAGAAAGAGAGCGCTCATTAGATTTCCATAGAAAAAAAGCTGAATATCTAATGTTCCAGAGTTGCACAACCATAACAATCTATAATTGGAACTGGCCAAATCCAGTATTTAATAACAAACGGATGGGTTTATTCTGGGCCCCTGGCAAAACATAATCAATCTTCATCACCTATTCTCTGTTCTCAGAACCTCTAGCTAATACCAGTTCTGCTGTGGACATGAAGAACACGTGTGGATTGAGAGAGAGAGCAGGACAAGAGGCGTTTTGGTCTAGTACGTGAAGCTCCATCCGCCTCCTGTAAACGGGTTTCAGTCAGTGTGAGTATTTGGCGTTTCCTCTCGCACGCATTACCTACAAGCGGCCACGCAACTTCAACCGAAAGCGCAGAGAAGGAAGAGAGAGAGCCGTGTGTGAGACAGCAGAAACTTGACAGACCTTTCAGGACATAAGGTTGGTCAACTTTTTTTTGCCAGTCATTATCATTATAAAAACGAGACCATTTCGTCTTGTTATCTCAGCCGAGTTTACTGTCCACCTCTGAATATTGAATATTATTCAACAGATACAATGTTCCTACTAATAATAATGTAACAAATGTGACAGGTATGCCAGTTAAATCACAAAAATTTAACGTTTTGCTACATTGTTATAAGTAGCAACATTTTATCTGTTGAAACAAGATTCAGATGTAGACTGTGGACCCATATTTTTGACACAGGCTGGCAAAAATAACATCAAAAGTGTTTCTAGCATTTCTGGCTATATGTATCTCTTGTGTATGCTATTTGACCCCACTTTCGACAGTGCTAGAACTGTTAGTGTCGTCGACAGTGTCACCTCATGTCCCTTGAGACTGTAGTCACCACTATTTATGGCTTATCAGAGGCACTGCCATCAATAGTTAATTGACCCATAGGCTATTCCAAGGCGCACATTGGATAACATTTATATTTGGTATCACAAACCTACATCAACTTGATATAGGTTATTATTAGGCTATAGTCAAACTAGACCGCGGTTCAATTTTACTGACAGCCTCTTTTGCACTACATTCATTATGTAGCCTACATTCAGTCACCTGGACTGCACTGTAGCCTATTGTCAGTGCTTGACTTGGACTGAAATAGGTTCCGATTATCATTTTGGGTGCCGGTACAGTTTATATTTGGTGCAGGAGCTCCACAATACTTTTGAGCTAATATTCTGCTCAAGCAGTAGAACATCTGAGGTGCCGATACTCAGCTCCGGTGAGCTCCTGCCCAAGTCAAGCACTGCCTGTTGTTACTGTAATATAAGACTAAATGGCTATCCATTTAATGTGCACTTGCTATTGCCATAAAAGTCAGCTGCTGCGCGTGAAGGGGGAGGGGTTGTGGTGGAGCGTGAACGTGACCACAGTCACCCGGGGAGAGGCGAGTTGAACATAGGCTTATAGTTCCGTGACGTAGGTCGCTGTATTGAATTGAAAGCATTCCTTTGAAACGGCGGAATCACTTGCTGCTGACCACTCGCCAGCCGGCAAATGAATGAAAGATAGCAAACAATGAATGTCTTGGTCACTTGCTTGTTTTTCGCCAGTCTGTCCTACATGTACAGCACCGACCTAATATCCGTGCTCCGTGTTTATGTTGCAGAGTGGGTCCTCGGCGCCTCAATGCCCGAACCAGGAGCTCCGCGGCGGACTCCGCAAGGTGTTCCGTACGCCGACCTGCAGCACATCGTCAACGCCGACGGACAGCACTTGTTCTGCCGCTACTGGGAGCCGGAAGGCCCCCCAAGGTCAGTGGAAGAAATGTCATGTGATGTGTAAAACGAGGCATAATCCATAAAAGAGGGTGGATGATCGAAGACGACGACATTGGCGCTGCGCCACTGGGCTCCCGAGTGGCGCAGCGGTCTAAGGCACTGCACCTCAGTGCTTGAGGCGTCATTACAGACCCCCTGGTTCGATTCCAGGCAGTTTCACAACCCGCCGTGATTGGGAGATAGGGTGGCGCACAATTGGCCCAGTGTCGTCCGGGTTTGGCCGGTGTAGGCCGTCATTGTAAATAAGAATTTGTTCTTAACTGACTTGCCTAGTTAAATAAAGGTAAAATAAATAAAAATTGTTTTCATCACCTCCATGTCCGGAGGTTGTGCATGCATTTCTGAAATGATAAACAATGCATTTATTATTTAATAGAACGTCCACTGCTTTGTATCCTATAATAAAAAGTAACATTGTCCACAGAGAGAATATATTTTCGAGGCTACACCAGCCTGCTAGAGACTGTCAGACGTAAATAAGATAGAACCTAATGTTTTCCATACAGTAAGTTATTATGCCAGTAAGTTATTAAGCTCCTGTGCTTGGCCCAGCCCCCTCACCCCATAACACCATTTAAAATGGAACAGACTCCAATACATCAGAGACAGAGAGTTGGCCCTGGAAACAGAGAGGCACACAACATCTGGACTGTAGTCAGGCTTGTGTCACGTCAAACCATGGAGCTTGCAGTAGCCTACAACTGACTCACCCTAGCTCTGACAGGGTGTTTGTGGTTTTACTTCTCTATAAACAAGTGAACATGTCCCTTGTTTGTGGGTGGATTGAGAATCTGTCTCAGATCACACTCACTGCTCCTGTCATAGGCTACAGAATGTCACTGCTAGTGTATGAACCTAATTCAATCAACGTTACAGTCAGTGCAGACAGAGTGCAGGCTAGTCCAATGGCACAGTACAGTAAGTACAGTACACCCACATCTCACACAACAACAACAACCATTTACATGCCTGCACTGTGGTCTAGCGGCTGTTACTGCGGCAAACATTCATCCTCCTCAGCAGCACAGTCTTACTGCAGGTGCTGTTACTATGGTTACCACCGGTCCCTAGAGTACTGCTAACTGAATAACTTCTACTAACAGTAGTGTGGGTCAGTTTATAGTAGCGCACTGTTTGTTTAGAGCTATAGTTTAGACTGGAGGCTAGTATTTGGCATCTCATATGAGGGTGGGAAAAGCAGAGAAAAATATATTTTATGTGGTGGCATCATCTATAAAAATGAACATTTGGTATACATTTCTACAAGCTTTGGATTCTCCCCTTTATGATTTTGTGAGATCCAGCCCCTTAGGTTTTAAAAGTTAGACTAAAATAAAATAAATGTTTGTTTAAAAATGTGTTGTAACGTCAACTACATGCCATTTCTGCCATACATGTCCATTGATGACATCACTGACTGGGCATATAGAGGGTAAAGGCATCTGCATGCTTCCCATCCGGAACAGTTCGGAACAGTTTGTGTATATATTATGATGACATTATGGGACGTTTTACCAGGACGTGTACTCAGAGCATGCACTGACCAACTGGCAAGTGTCTTCACTGACATTTTCATAGTCCCTGTGCCCAAGAACACTAAGGTAACCTGCCTAAATGACTACAGACCCGTAGCACTCACGTCTGTAGCCATGAAGTGCTTTGAAAGGCTGGTCATGGCTCACATCAACACCATTATCCCAGAAACCCTAGACCAGGGGTGTCAAACTCATTTTAGCTCAGGGGCCACATGGAGGAAAATCTATTCCCAAGTGGGCCGGACCGGAAAAATCATGGTATATATAACTTAAAAACAACAACTTCAGATCGTTTTCTTTGTTTTAATACGATCAACATACAACATAAAGCTGGAGCCTGAGGACAGTGTTTCCAAAATAGTACAAGCACAACATCACTATTAATCATAAAACACGTCAAGTTTATTTGAAAATTCTAAAGAAAAAGAACACACAAACACACAATGCCTCAGTGATTAACAGAAGTATATCACAGATCACAGAACTATATCAGGGTGTCATTTCTCAGGCAGAAATGTAGATAAAAATAATGAAATCCTGTTCCCCAAACAAGTGCAAGAACCACAGAGTCAAGAATAGGTTAAATATACAAATAAAATAAAAACAATAGCACATCAACATAAAAACATATAAACATAAATCTGAAAGCGTTGCTCAAACTCCCGTAACAGTCCCGTTATTTTATCTTTGAACCCCTTCATGTCTGCCACATGTTGGGTCGCGCACAAATTTTTCAGACAGGGGAAGTGAGCTGCATCACCACCGGCAAGTTGTGTCTCCCACAATGACAGCTTCAACTTGAAAGAACGTATGCTGTCATAATACTGCGTGACAACTTTGTTGCGCCCTTGCAGCTGTTTGTTCAAGTTATTCAGGTGCTCTGTAACATCCACCATAAATGCAAGGTCCTGCATCCATTCTGCGGAATGAAATTCTAACACTGGTTTGCCCTTTTCTTCCATGAACTGTTCAATTTCTTCTCGTAAATCAAAGAAACGCCTCAGCACAGCACCTCGGCTTAACCATCTTACCTCAGTGTGGTATGGCAGGCCATAGATGTGGTCTTTCTCTCTGAGAAGGCTGTCAAATTGACGGTGATTCAGGCTTCTGGATCGGATGAAATTAACAGTTTGGATGACCACCTTCATGACGTTATCCATCTTTAATGACTTGCAACACAAAGCCTCCTGGTGCAAAATACAGTGAAAAGTCAAAAAATCACGTCCTCCATTTGCAGATTGCACTTTGTCTCTGAACTTTGTCACAACGCCTGCTTTTTTCCCATCATTGAGGGCGCACCATCTGTAGCCAGGCTGACAGCGCGGGACCAGTCCACTCCGACCCTGTCCAGCGCGCCGACGAGTGCGGTAAAAATATCAGCTGCTGTCGTTGTATCTGTCATCGGCACCAACTCCACGAACTCCTCGTGACGGTCAATGTGTCATCAACTCCGCAGATGAAAATGGCCAGTTGTGCAACATCTGTAATGTCCGTGCTTTCATCAATTGCATCCGAAAACGCAATAAATGACTTTACTTTTCGCTTCAACTGGCTGTCCAAATCCACTGAAAGATGGGAAATCCTGTCTGCAACTGTGTTTCTTGTCAGGCTGATATTTGCAAAAGCCTGCCGCTTTTCAGGGCACACAATCTCCGCTGCCTTCATCATGCATGTTTTTACGAATTCACCCTCACTAAATGGTTTTGAAGCCACTGCGATTTCATTAGCAATGAGGTAGCTAGCTTTCACTGCAGCGTCACTGATGTCTCGGCTGTGAGTAAACACAGACTGCTGTTTCTTACATTTACATTTACATTTTAGTCATTTAGCAGACGCTCTTAACCAGAGCGACTTACAGGAGCAATTAGGGTTAAGTGCCTTGCTCAAGGGCACATTAACGTCATTTAGCAGACGCTCTTAGCCAGAGCGACTCACAAATTGGTGCGTTCACCCTATAGCCAGTGGGATAACCACTTTACAATTTGGGGGGGGGGGGGGGGGGGGGGGGGTTAGAAGGAATACTTTATCCTATCCCAGGTATTCCTTAAAGAGGTGGGGTTTCAAATGTCTCCGGAAGGTGGTGAGTGACTCCGCTGTCCTGGCGTCGTGAGGGAGCTTGTTCCACCATTGGGGTGCCAGAGCAGCGAACAGTTTTGACTGGGCTGAGCGGGAGCTGTGCTTCCGCAGAGGAAGGGGAGCCAGCAGGCCAGAGGTGGATGAACGCAATGTCCTCGTTTGGGTGTAGGGACTGATCAGAGCCTGAAGGTACAGAGGTGCCGTTCCCCTCACTGCTCCATAGGCAAGCACCATGGTCTTGTAGCGGATGCGAGCTTCAACTGGAAGCCAGTGGAGTGTGCGGAGGAGGGGGGTGACGTGAGAGAACTTGGGAAGGTTGAACACCAGACGGGCTGCGGCATTCTGGATGAGTTGTAGGGGTTTAATGGCACAGGCAGGGAGCCCAGCCAACAGCGAGTTGCAGTAGTCCAGACGGGAGATGACAAGTGCCTGGACCAGGACCTGCGCCGCTTCCTGTGTAAGGCAGGGTCGCACTCTCCGAATGTTGTAGAGCATGAACCTGCAGGAGCGGGTCACCGCCTTGATGTTGGCGGAGAACGACAGGGTGTTGTCCAGGGTCACGCCTAGGCTCTTCGCACTCTGGGAGGAGGACACAGCGGAGTTGTCAACCGTGATGGCGAGATCATGGAACGGGCAGTCCTTCCCCGGGAGGAAGAGCAGCTCCGTCTTGCCAGGGTTCAGCTTGAGGTGGTGATCCGTCATCCATACTGATATGTCTGCCAGACATGCAGAGATGCGATTCGCCACCTGGTTATCAGAAGGGGGAAAGGAGAAGATTAGTTGTGTATCGTCAGCGTAGCAATGATAGGAGAGACCATGTGAGGATATGACAGAGCCAAGTGACTTGGTGTATAGGGAGAAAAGGAGAGGGCCCAGAACCGATCCCTGGGGGACACCAGTGGTGAGAGCACATGGTGCGGAGACAGCTTCCCGCCACGCCACTTGGTAGGAGCGACCGGTCAGGTAGGACGCAATCCAGGAGTGAGCCGCGCCGGAGATGCCCATCTCGGAGAGGGTGGAGAGGAGGATCTGATGGTTCACAGTATCAAAGGCAGCAGACAGGTCTAGAAGGACAAGAGCAGAGGAGAGAGAGTTAGCTTTAGCAGTGCGGAGAGTCTCCGTGACACAGAGAAGAGCAGTCTCAGTTGAATGACCAGTCCTGAAACCTGATTGGTTTGGATCAAGAAGGTCATTCTGAGAGAGATAGCAAGAGAGTTGGCTAAAGACGGCACGCTCAATAGTTTTGGAAAGAAAAGAAAGAAGGGATACTGGTCTGTAGTTGTTGACATCAGTGGGGTCGAGTGTTGGTTTTTTGAGAAGGGGAGCAACTCTCGCTCTCTTGAAGACGGAAGGGACATGGCCAGCGGTCAAGGATGAGTTGATCAGCGAGGTGAGGTAGGGGAGAAGGTCACCGGAGATGGTCTGGAGAAGGGAGGAGGGGATGGGGTCAAGCGGGCAGGTTGTTGGGCGGCCTGCAGTCACAAGTCGCAGGATTTTATCTGGAGAGAGAGGGGAGAAAGAAGTCAAAGCATAGGGTAGGGCAGTGTGAGCAGGACCAGCAGTGTTATTAGACTTAACAAACGAGGATCGGATGTCGTCAACCTTCTTTTCAAAGTGGTTGACGAAGTCATCCACAGAGAGAGAGGAGGGGGGGGGGGGGGGGGGGAGGAGGATTCAGGAGGGAGGAAAATGTGGCAAAGAGCTTCCTAGGGTTAGAGGCAGATGCTTGGAATTTAGAGTGGTAGAAGGTGGCCTTAGCAGCAGAAACAGATGAAGAAAATGTAGAGAGGAGGGAGTGAAAAGATGCCAGGTCGGTAGGGAGTTTAGTTTTCTTCCATTTCCGCTCCGCTGCCCGGAGCTCTGTTCTGTGAGCTCGCAGTGAGTCATCAAGCCACGGAGCTGGGGGGGAGGACCGAGCCGGCCGGGAGGATAGGGGACACAGAGAGTCAAAGGATGCAGAAAGGGAGGAGAGGAGGGTTGAGGAGGCAGAATCAGGAGATTGGAGGGAGAAGGATTGAGCAGAGGGAAGAGATGATAGGATGGAAGAGGAGAGAGTAGTGGGAGAGAGAGAGCGAAGGTTGCGGCGGCGCATTACCATCTGTGTAGGGGCAGAGTGAGTAGTGTGGGAGGAGAGCGAGAGAGAAAAGGAAACAAAGTAGTGGTCGGAGACTTGGAGGGGAGTTGCAGTGAGATTAGTAGAGGAGCAGCATCTAGTGAAGATGAGGTCAAGCGTATTGCCTGCCTTGTGAGTAGGGGGGGACGGTGAGAGGGTGAGGTCAAAAGAGGAGAGGAGTGGAAAGAAGGAGGCAGAGAGAAATGAGTCAAACGTGGACATAGGGAGGTTGAAATCCCCCAAAACTGTGAGGGGTGAGCCATCCTCAGGAAAGGAACTTATCAAGGCGTCAAGCTCGTTGATGAACTCTCCAAGGGAACCTGGAGGGCGATAGATGACAAGGATATTAAGCTTAAATGGGCTAGTGACTGTGACAGCATGGAATTCAAATGAGGAGATAGACAGATGGGTTAGGGGAAAAATTGAGAATGTCCACTTGGGAGAGATGAGGATTCCTGTACCACCACCCCTCTGACCAGATGCTCTCGGGGTATGCGAGAACACATGGTCAGACGAGGAGAGAGCAGTAGGAGTAGCCGTGTTTTCAGTGGTGATCCATGTTTCCGTCAGCGCCAGGAAGTCGAGGGACTGGAGGTTGGCATAGGCTGGGATGAAGTCAGCTTTGTTGGCAGCAGAACGGCAGTTCCAGAGGCTGCCTGCGACCTGGAACTCCAGGTGAGGGGTGCGAGCAGGGACCACCAGGTTAGAGAGGCAGCAGCCACGCGGTGTGAGGCGTTTGTGTAGCCTGTGCAGAGAGGAGAGAACAGGGATAGGCAGAGGCATTCTTCAGACCCGCCAACAGTTCATTCACCTTCTCTCATCTCTGCTGTCCTTGAAAGTTGTCATATTTGTCGGCATGAAGACTCACATAGTGGCGACGAAGGTTATATTCTTTCAGCACTGCAACATGCTCTGAACACACCAAACATACAGCTTTCCCATTCAATTCCGTGAATAAATAGGATGACCATTTTTCTTGGAACACTCTGCACTCTGCGTCCACTTTTCTCTTTTTTGACAGAGACATATTGGGGCAATGAGGGTGCCAAAGCACATAATGTTAAAAGTAGAAGCCGTAATAAATATCGCGGGCAAAACAAAGTAGCTCATTGGCTGCACGTGCTTGACCTACTTGCTCTGCCCCGGTATAAACAGTTTGCTTGCTTAACACAATTGCTATTGCGCCATCCAGTGGACGCAATTGGAACAGCAGTTTATTTTATTGAAAAATTGCAGCGCATTTTTATACTTTACCAAATATATATGGTAAAGTATAAAAATGCGCTGCAATTTTTCAATAAAATAAACTGCTGTTCCAATTGCGTCCACTGGATGGCGCAATAGCAATTGTGTTTTTTTTTTTCAAAATCATCTCGCGGGCCGGATTAAACCCGTTTGCGGGCCTGATCCGGGCCGGACGTTTGACACCCCTGCCCTAGACCCACTCCAATTTCCATACCGCCCCAACAGATCCACAGATGATGCAATCTCTATTGCACTCCACACTGCCCTTTCCCACCTGGACAAAAGGAACACCTACGTGAGAATGCTATTCATTGACTACATCTCAGCGTTCAACACCATAGTGCCTTCAAAGCTCATCACTAAGCTAAGGACCCTAGGACTAAACACCTCCCTCTGCAACTGGATCCTGGACTTCCTGACGGTCCGCCCCCAGATGGTAAGGGTTGGTAACAACACATCTGCCACGCTGATCCTCAACACGGGGGCCCCTCAGGGGTGCGTGCTCAGTCCCCTCCTGTACTCCCTGTTCACCCATGACTGCATGGCCAGGCACGACTCCAACACCATCATTAAGTTTGCAGACGACACAACAGTGGTAGGCCTGATCAGCGACAACGATGAGACAGCCTATAGGGAGAAGGTCAGAGACCTGGCCGTGTGGTGCCAGGATAACAACCTCTCCCTCAACGTGATTAAGACAAAGGAGATGTCATATGTAACTCTGTGTTGTTGTTGTTTTTACCACACAGCTTTGCTTTATCTTGGCCAGGTCGCAGTTGTAAATGAGAACTTGTTCTCAACTGGCTTACATGGTTAAATAAAGGTGAAATATATATATTTTTAAGATGATTGTGGACTACAGGAAAAAGAGGACTGAGCACGCCCCCATTCTCATCGACGGGGCTGTAGAGGAGCAGGTTGAGAGCTTGCAAGTTCCTTGGTGTCCACATCACCAACAAACTATCATGGTCCAAACACACCAAGACAGTCGTGAAGAAGGCACGACAAAGCCTATTCCCCCTTCAGGAGACTGAAAAGATTTGGCATGGGTCCTCAGATCCTCAAAAAGTTCTACAGCTGTACCATCGAGAGCATCCTGACTGGTTGCATTACTGCCTGGTATGGCAACTGCTCGGCCTCCGACTGCAAGGCACTACAGAGGGTAGTGCGTACGGCCCAGCACATCACTGGGGCCAAGCTTCCTGCCATCCAGGACCTCTATACCAGGCGGTGTCAGAGGAAGGCCCTAAAAATGGTCAAAGACTCCAGCCACCTTAGTCAGACTGTCCTCTCTGCTACCACACGGCAAGCGGTACCGGAGCGCCAAGTCTAGGTCCAAAAGGCTTCTTAACAGCTTCTACCCCCAAGCCATAAGACTCCTGAAGAAGCTAATCAAATGGCTACCCAGACTATTTGCATTGTCCCCCCCACCCCCTCTTTTACGCTGCTGCTACTCTCTGTTTATTATCTATGCATAGTCACTTTAACTATACCTACATGTACATATTACCTCAATTACCTAGACAAACCGGTGCCCCCGCCAATTGACTCTGTACCGGTACCCCCTGTATGTAGCCTCGCTACTGTTATTTTCACTGTTATTTTACTGCTTTTATTTTTTACTTATCTATTGTTTACTTAACACTTATTTATCTTAAAACTGCATTGTTGGTTAAGGGCTTGTAAGTAAGCATTTCACTGTAAGTAAGCAGTTCACCTGTTGTATTCGGCGCATGTGAAAAATAAAATTCCTAATTCTAACCCTAACCCCTAAACCTAAAATAGCCTTTTTACAAGTGAGGACCGGCAAAATGTCCTCACTTCTCTGTATTTTTGTTGGTTTGCTATTCTTGGACTTTTGGTACTCACAAGTATATTAAAACGTGTCCTCACACACACACACACACACTCTGCATGTAGTTAAGTGGGTCATTCCACTATTGATGTTGACCACAATGGAATCAGGATTACAATAATTTCTTTACCAAACAAGGATGGCTTGAATGTTTGTCTTACTGTTTTTAGGCTCTCTCTCACTTCTCTGCTACTCTCTCTCTCACACACACTCACACACTCACACACACACACACACACACACACACACACACACACACACACACAAAGACATGCTCATTTGTCTGTTCTGGTTGTAGCAGGTATTCACTGTGGTGTCTTCAGTCCCCAGCCCTGCCTCACACAGTCTGTAGTCAGGGCTATGGCCCTGTAGTGTTGAGTAGCTTAGTCCCTTAATCTGATTAAAATGCCATTGTTCAGGCCCTGGCCCATTTACAACCTCTCCCTACCTCGACCACACACATGCGGCTTGATATGCCATACAGATTGACCAGTCTTATTGTGTTTGTGGGAATGAATTTATTCATGATGGATATCAGTCAGTCTGCATCCCATAAAGAGGATTATCATCTTGGCTTGTTTCATGTTGTGGGAAAACTTGATGTTCAGGCTAGAGGCTGCATTTGATAAGCCTGGTTATAAGCCACATTCTGAGAGACAAGTGGGTTTCAAATTCCTTGGCGAGGGAGAAGGAGAGATTGAGGGAGGGAGGAAGAAAGAGAGGGAGATAATTTTGACTCCCCACTACCATTCTCAAGACACTGAATATACTCGCCACAATCCACTGAGATTAGCTCTATAGAAGTCCTACTGTCCCATGTGTGTTGGGAACATTATGTTCACACAAAGGCAGTCTTTGAGAAACTCCTTCTTAGCCAACAAGTGCATGGGAAGCTCTAGCCAGCCGGAGGCTCTGAAATAGGAACGAGAGAATGAAAGAGAGAGAAACTCTAACAGAGAGACTAATGAAAATAAATGAACAGCTACTCTCACTCTTCCTTTCACATCTCCTTCTCTGAACACATTCAGGCTAATTGCCACTGACTGAGCGCTTCACTCAGTTTTGTAAACTGGTTATAAGCAGGAACTAAAGCAGCACTGGCAAGCTGGGTTGGTTTCCTGCTCTTTCCTATGGCTATGTGTCTGTTTTTAGAGATTAGTCCTCTGTCTGGTTCCAGTTAACTCTGCTGCTCTGTGGGCAAACAAGGGTGTGGCGCAGATCTGATAACTGCTATTACTGGAGGATGTGGGATGTTTTATTCGGATGAAAGCCCTTGATGGTGATCACGAGGATGTTGTTGTTTTTGTGTTGTTAATGTGTGTCCATGTGCTTGTTTGCACGTAATGTGACTGACTTCACTCTCCTTCCTCGTTTCCTGCAGGGCTCTGGTGTTCGTGGCCCACGGGGCAGGGGAGCATTGCGGGCCGTACGATGAGATTGGCCAGACCCTTCAAAAACAGTCTCTGCTTGTCTTTGCACACGACCATGGTGAGTCAAACACCCTGTAGCACCGCTTACAGAGCCACAGGGGTAGCACTTATTTTACGGTACAGAAATTGCCACAAGAAATACTGGAGAAGTCCTACCCATTGGAAGCACATAATTTCCTGCTAGTAAAATACCAGTAGAAACCTAACAACAACAAAAAGTTATACCCTGACAATATATTTGTTTCGATGGGACAGTTTGGTAGCCTAGTATTACCAGACTGATTAGCGTAGCGAACCATTTATGTAAGCTGGCGAGATCAGCCTGGCTCACAAGACTAACAGTTTGTTTAGAATGGAAATGGTGACTTTCAGTGAGTGTCACACGGTGAAATAGAGCAGGTTGTAGTTGAGCAAAAGCTTTGAAGTCAACTCCAAATGAGAGTTGGAACTCTCTGTGTTTCCCTCCAATCTATTGAGTGACAGATCTTAGGATGTTAGCGTACACCACTCCACAGAGACCTTTAATCATTAATATTTTATCAAAGTAAAACTTGACATAAATATGGTATTATTCTAAGGTTACTAAACTAAGTAATGAGGATGGTGTTAATAAATGTAGTTTTCAATGGAAATTGGTGTATTTTGTCTACGACAGTCAAATATTTTTCCATTGAGTTTCAAAGTAATAACTGAAATATTGAATCACTAGGTGAGAGTGGGATTTTTGACGCACACACCCTTCACTGCAGAGGAACGAAGAACGGCATCACCTGACAGACACCAATGAGCATCCAATATCAGTGGAAGCTATTATCACCATAAGTGGGAGAGAAATAAGAGAGAGAGAGAGAGAGAGAGGGGAGGAGGGAAGGAGAGTGAGAGAGTTTGAGCGGCACATGTTCTGAATGTTGAAACTGTAGCTGGTGTTATGGTGCCATGGCAATGCACCTTTCACATAGCTTCCAGTGTTTTCCCTAGGATTCTTTTCAGCAGCAGTGGCAAAGTTAGCCAGGTTTTTAGAAATGTTGGCAAATGTATTACAAATAAAAAACAAATACCTTATTTGCATAAGTATTCAGACCCTTTGCTATGAGACTCGAAATTGAGCTCCGGTGCATCCTGTTTCCATTGATCATCCTTGAGATGTTTCTACAACTTGATTGGAGTCCACCTGTGGTAAATTAAATTGATTGGACATGATTTGGAAAGGCACACACCTGTCTATATAAGGTCCCACAGTTGCATGTCAGTCAAAAACCAAGCCATGAGGTCGAAGGAATTGTCCATAGAGCTCCGAGACAGGATTGTGTCGAGGCACAGATCTGGGGAAGGGTACCAAAAAATGTCTGCAGCATTGAAAGTCCCCAAGAACACAGTGGCCTCCATCATTCTTAAATGGAAGAAGTTTGGAACCACCAAGACTCTTCCTAGAGCTGGCCGCCCGGCCAATCTGAGCAATCGGGGGAGAAGGGCCTTGGTCACGGAGCTCCAGAGTTCCTCTGTGGAGATGGGAGAACCTTCCAGAAGGACAACCATCGCTGCAGCACTCCACCAATCAGGCCTTTATGGTAGAGTGGCCAGACGGAAGCCACTCCTCAGTAAAAGGCACATGACAGCTCGCTTGGAGTTTGCCAAAAACAAGATTCTCTGGTCTGATGAAACCAAGATTGAACTCTTTGGCCTGAATGCCAAGCGTCACGTCTGGAGGAAACCTTGCACCATCCCCACAGTGAAGCATGGTTGTTTTTCAGCGGCAGGGACTGGGAGACTAGTCAGGATCAAGGGAAAGATGAACGGAGCAAAGTACAGAGAGATCCTTATTTGTAGCATCATACCCAAGAAGACTCCTTTTTCATTATTATACACTACCGGTCAAAAGGGATTTTCTTTATTTTTACTATTTTCTACATTGTAGAATAATAGTGAAGACATCAAAACTATGCGTGTAGCTCAGTTGGTAGAGCATGGCGTTTGCAACGCCAGGGTTGTGGGTTCGTTTCCCACGGGGGACCAGTATGAAAAAGAAAATGTATGAACTCACTACTGTAAGTCGCTCTGGATAAGTGGCGCAGTGGTCTAAGGCACTGCATTGCAGTGCTAGCTGTGCCACTAGAGATCCTGGTTCGCATCCAGGCTCTGTCGTAGCCGGCCGTGACCGGGAGACCCATGGGGCGGCGCACAATTGGCCCAGCGTCGTCCAGGATAGGGGAGGGAATGGCCGGCAGGGATGTAACTCAGTTGGTAGAGCATGGCGTTTGCAATGCCAGGGTTGTGGGTTCGATTCCCACGGGGGGCCAGTATGAAAAAAATTAAAATAAATAATGTATGCACTCACTAACTGTAAGTCGCTCTGGATAAGAGCGTCTGCTAAATGACGTAAATGTAAAATGTAAGAGCGTCTGCTAAATGACTAAAATGTAAATATATATGTTGGAAGGAAATGGGAGGAGGGATGGACGGCTAGCACGTGGATTGACATGTACAGGGATGGAGATGGCTCTCTTCGCTCTCCCTCTGTCTCACCTGCACAGAGATTAATGAGGGGGAGAGTGAGCAATTTATTCCTCTCTTGTCTCTGTAATTCACAGTAGTTTCTCTTGTCTCGTCTCTTTCTCTTTCTCTCTCCTTCCATCAGTTGGCCATGGCCAGAGTGAAGGAGACAGGATGAATATTAAGGACTTCCAGGTGTTTGTCAGAGACTCCCTCCAGCACATTGACCTGATGAAGGGACGACACCCCGACCTGCCAGTCTTCATCATTGGACATTCTATGGTGCGGTATCCTCTAGTCTCCTCCCTGACCAAACACTGAGATTGTATTATTGCCAGGGGCTATGGTATATTTACCTCTCAATACAGGAGAAACTGTTTTCTCAGAGGTCATAGGGCCAGGGTTACCTTACATTTACATTTACATCATTTAGCAGACGCTCTTATCCAGAGCGACTTACAAATTGGTGCATTCAACTTAAGGCTATATCCATCACACAAACATTATACAAGGCCTGCATTCAACACCCGTACACTCAGTGTGGCTCAGATGACCACATATGCTCTGACATCACAGCTTACGTGTATGCCATCATTTATTCCACAAGGTCTTGGGAGATGGTGTCCTTTGAAAGTCTAGCTTTGTAAGAACCAACAGAGTCAGGCCTTCAAAAGGATTTACTGTATGACAGACCTCGTTTCCCTTCCCCGCTGCTCTTTCCTGTCTCTGTTTGCTTGTTCTGCTGTTCTATGACTGAACTCTGCTTCTGTGACGTAAAGTCCACGAACAATGAAAACCACCTGTAGCCTATACGTCGAGATCCTCGTTGTGATAGCATCCTTTAGATTCCCTCATGCACCACCAGCTGTGCACATTAGACAGCCTTCCCCTGGTTTTGACCTGCTGTTATAATTAGACTACTTTGCTTCACTATGACTGGAACGTAGGCCATTTTAGTAGAGTAAATGTTTAGAACGTCTGGATGTAAACATTTAAACAGGATTTTTTAATGGGAAGTTATTGTAATGGAAAAGCCTGTGGAGTGAGATAAGGCTTGGCATTTTACAGGCATGTGGGCCGGCTTCCTGGACACAGATTAAGCTTAGTCTAGGACTAAAATGTATGCTCAATGGAGCTCCATTTAAAGTCATTTTTAGTCCAGGACTAGGCTTAATCTGTGTCTGGGAAACCAGCCCCAAATGTATATGAAAAAGCCATGCTTAGAACCCATGTCTGATGCCTTGAGACCATTAGACTGTAATGTACAAGCAGTGTCAAATTGTGCACTTCTTGTGTCGGGTAAATTCCACGACAACTATCGAGATTAAAGCCCTGAAGCCTGTGGTCTCAGTCAACCCAAATGGCATGTTTAAGATTACAGAAGAGAATCTTAATCCAGATACAGGCTAGTCCAGATACACATAGTTCCAAAGCATCCTTTACTGCAGTGCATGCACTGACCACTGATGAATTGACCAGTGACCCTCACTGCCCTCAACAAAGACCAGTGTTGCCCTCTAATCCAAGCTAAACCTTGCTACACTGTCCACTCTCCTACTGATCTTTCACTGCTGTCCTGGTTAGTGCGCTATACAGACCCTTGCTCCTTACTGACCAATTTATCTCTCCATCCCTCCTTCTCCTCCTCTCTTTCTGTACTTACTGACCACCTAACTCATTCCTCCCTCCTTCCCCATCTCCCCCTCAGGTTCTGTACATCTGGCCCTCTTCCATTTCCAACTTCTTCAGTACCAGGCCTTTATGTAATGTCAGTATGTTAGGGCCTTACATAACCACAATCAAAGTATTCATACTGTCAGGGGTCACAACACTATGCAAGTATTTCCCCCCTCATTGCAAGAGGGGATTAGCGAGTGTTTATGTGTGTGTGTTTCTGGTGGAGGCCTCTCTGATCAGTTCCTTAAAAGAACCCCTCTGTTTCTCGCTCACCCTTCCTGCTCAACCCCCCAAAGGCCTCTCTCTTTCTTGCTCTCTCTCTCTCTATAGCATGAAACACACGAGAATCTCAAAGCCGATAGGTACTTATCACATTGGGATGCCGTTCCTTCTCTTGCTAGAACAAAAGCGTTACCTGCTGCGTGCCGAACGAGTAGCGACAAACCTACCGATTCTACTTGTAGAATCGCAATGCTCGTCAATTACATTTACATTTACGTCATTTAGCAGACGCTCTTATCCAGAGCGACTTACAAATTGGTGCATTCACCTTATAGCCAGTGGGATAACCACTTTATAATGTTTTTTTATCTTTTTGGGGGGGGGGGGGGGGGTAGAAGGATTACTTTATCCTATCCTATGTATTCCTTAAAGAGGTGGGGTTTCAAATGTCTCCGGAAGGTGGTGAGTGACTCCGCCGTCCTGGCGTCGTGAGGGAGCTTGTTCCACCATTGGGGTGCCAGAGCAGCGAACAGTTTTGACTGGGCTGAGTGGGAACTGTGCTTCCGCAGAGGTAGGGGAGCCAGCAGGCCAGAGGTGGATGAACGCAATGCCCTCGTTTGGGTGTAGGGACTGATCAGAGCCTGAAGGTACGGAGGTGCCGTTCCCCTCACAGTTCCGTAGGCAAGCACCATGGTCTTGTAGCAGATGCGAGCTTCAACTGGAAGCCAGTGGAGTGTGCGGAGGAGCAGGGTGACGTGAGAGAATTTGGGAAGGTTGAACACCAGACGGGCTGCGGCATTCTGGATGAGTTGTAGGGGTTTAATGGCACAGGCAGGGAGCCCAGCCAACAGCGAGTTGCAGTAATCCAGACGGGAGATGACAAGTGCCTGGATTAGGACCTGTGCCGCTTCCTGTGTAAGGCAGGGTCGTACTCTCCGAATGTTGTAGAGCATGAACCTACAGGATCGGGTCACCGCCTTGATGTTAGCGGAGAACGACAGGGTGTTGTCCAGGGTCACGCCAAGGTTCTTCGCACTCTGGGAGGAGGACACAATGGAGTTGTCAACCGTGATGGCGAGATCATGGAACGGGCAGTCCTTCCCCGGGAGGAAGAGCAGCTCCGTCTTGCCAAGGTTCAGCTTGAGGTGGTGATCCGTCATCCATACTGATATGTCTGCCAGACATGCAGAGATGCGATTCGCCACCTGGTTATCAGAAGGGAGAAAGGAGAAGATTAGTTGTCTGTCGTCTGCGTAGCAATGATAGGAGAGGCCATGTGAGGATATGACAGAGCCAAGTGACTTGGTGTATAGCTAGAATAGGAGAGGGCATAGAACTGAGCCCTTGGGGACACCAGTGGTGAGAGCACGTGGTGCGGAGACAGCTTCTCGCCACGCCACTTGGTAGGAGCGACCGGTCAGGTAGGACGCAATCCAAGAGTGAGCCGCGCCGAAGATGCCCAGCTCGGAGAGGGTGGAGAGGAGGATCTGATGGTTCACAGTATCAAAGGCAGCAGACAGGTCTAGAAGGACAAGAGCAGAGGAGAGAGCGTTAGCTTTAGCAGTGCGGAGAGCCTCCGTGACACAGAGAAGAGCAGTCTCAGTTGAATGACCAGTCTTGAAACCTGACTGGTTTGGATCAAGAAGGTAATTCTGAGAGAGATGGCAAGAGAGTTGGCTAAAGACGGCACGCTCAATAGTTTTGGAGAGAAAAGAAAGAAGGGATACTGGTCTGTAGTTGTTGACATCAGAGGGATCGAGTGTTGGTTTTTTGAGAAGGGGTGCAACTCTCGCTCTCTTGAAGACGGAAGGGACATAGCCAGCGGTCAAGGATGAGTTGATCAGCGAGGTGAGGTAAGGGAGAAGGTCACCGGAGATGGTCTGGAGAAGAGAGGAGGCGATAGGGTCAAGCGGGAAGGTTGTTGGGCGGGCGGCCGTCACAAGTCGCAAGATTTTATCTGGAGAGAGAGGGGAGAAAGAAGTCAAAGCATAGGGTAGGGCAGTGTGAGCAGGACCAGCAGTGTCATTTGACTTAACAAACGAGGATCGGATGTCGTCAACCTTCTTTTCAAAATGGTTGACGAAGTCATCCACAGAGAGGGGGGGGGGGGGGGATTCAGCAGGGAGGAGAAGGTGGCAAAGAGCTTCCTAGGGTTAGAGGCAGATGCTTGGAATTTAGAGTGGTAGAAAGTGGTCTTAGCAGCAGAAACAGATGTAGAGAGTAGGGAGTGAAAAGATGCCAGGTCCGCAGGGAGTCTAGTTTTCCTCCATTTCCGCTCGGCTGCCCGGAGCCCTGTTCTGTGAGCTCGCAATGAGTCATCAAGCCACGGCGCTGGAGGAGAGGACCGAGCCGGCCGGGAGGATAGGGGACATAGAGAGAAAGGATGCAGAAAGAGAGGAGAGGAGGGTTGAGGAGGCAGAATCAGGAGATTGGAGGGAGAAGGATTGAGCAGAGGGAAGAGATGATAGGATGGAAGAGGAGAGAGTAGCGGGAGAGAGAGAGCGAAGGTTGCGACGGCGCATTACCATCTGAGTAGGGGCAGAGTGAGTAGTGTTGGAGGAGAGCGAGAGAGAAAAGGATACAAAGTAGTGGTCGGAGACATGGAGGGGAGTTGCAGTAAGATTAGTGGAAGAACAGCATCTAGTAAAGATGAGGTCAAGCGTATTGCCTGCCTTGTGAGTAGGGGGGGACGGTGAGAGGGTGAGGTCAAAAGAGGAGAGGAGTGGAAAGAAGGAGGCAGAGAGAAATGAGTCAAAGGTAGACGTAGGGAGGTTGAAGTCCCCCAGAACTGTGAGGGGTGAGCCATCCTCAGGAAATGAACTTATCAAGGCGTCAAGCTCATTGATGAACTCTCCAAGGGAACCTGGAGGGCGATAAATGACAAGGATATTAAGCTTAAATGGGCTAGTGACTGTGACAGCATGGAATTAAAATGAGGAGATAGACAGATGGGTCAGGGGAAAAATAGAGAATGTCCACTTGGGAGAGATGAGGATTCCTGTGCCACCACCCCGCTGACCAGATGCTCTCGGGGTATGCGAGAACACATGGTCAGACGAGGAGAGAGCAGTAGGAGTAGCAGTGTTTTCAGTGGTAATCCATGTTTCCGTCAGCGCCAAGAAGTCGAGGGACTGGAGGGTAGCATAGGCTGAGATGAACTCTGCCTTGTTGGCAGCAGAACGGCAGTTCCAGAGGCTGCCTGAGACCTGGAACTCCACGTGGGTGGTGCGTGCAGGGACCACCAGGTTAGAGAGGCAGCAGCCACGCGGTGTGAGGCGTTTGTATAGCCTGTGCGGAGAGGAGAGAACAGGGATAGACAGAGGCATAGTTGACAGGCTGCAGAAAATGGCTACAATAATGCAAAGGAGATCGGAATGAAATGAACTAAACATCTGGGAAAGGAGAGAGCGGGGCCTCCCTCACCACAACACCCAAATATAACTCTCCCAACTTCCACCTCAGAAACTATAATTGTTGTAAACTACAGCGGTTCAATGTTTTCTAGGAATAGACTAACTTTGTTTATTCAGCTAGCTAACTTGGTACAGTATTCTTCCGTGAAAATCGTCCAGGGCACCTAGTCATAAGACGCCACAGCCAGCTATTATGCCGGACTCCAACAACACGGTTTAGCACCAATACTCGGCCACAACAAACCACCAGTGTGTCAACACGCCAAGCAGATCGTTCGTGTCCGTGTCTAACGTTGTGGGTTAGTCCCGACAGCTTGAGCGAGTCCGTCGTCAACTTATTCAGCCAGTTAGTTAGCTAGAATAGTTAGCATACTAGCTAGCCATTGCTTTCAGGCAAAGAAGAAACCCCTCCTTTCACAGCACGAACACACAGAGAGAGCCAAGCTAACGTTAACTAGTCACCCATGTCCCGAATTCCTTGAACGACTCTGGCTACCAATATATAAAAACAAAACACAAATGTAGGTTATGACTTACCCCTAGTAACTACTGTTAGCTAGCCAAGTGCAAAGCTAGCCACTGAATTGACTCAGCCAGTTCGCGTCTGTTCGCTAGGTCGTTCCAGCTATTGTTTACTAGTAGCTATCCAGGTAGCAACAAGCTAGCTAAATTTCAAGCACAGTAGCCACTTACTACCTAACGTTAACGGTTCAGACAATGAGGTTAGAAAACAGCTGAATGGTAGGCATTATTGTATGTAATTATTGTAGGCAGCCAGCTGGCGTAATTACAGGCACTCTCAGGCGTGAAACAACTATACCGTTGCTAATAGTTGCCAGTAGTTACCCGCCAGCTAGTCCAGGTAGTGGGTTAGCTAGCTAGCTTCGTGCTTCACCGGGCTCAGCCGAATACAATACTAACCTACAATAATTACATACAACAACCCACGATAACTACCTACGATAACTACCTACAATACCTAACTACAATCTAAATACATAGTTTAAGCTTTACTCGACAAAGCCCAAACTATGTATAAAGCCAAGCTTACCCGACGACCTCACCCGACAACCTCCTCCTGCTCCTGCTCCACACATATCACTCGTCAGTGGCCAACAACCTGACTTTGAGCCAATCAGAGAACACAAAAAAAGGGCAAGAATATAGCATTTTCTCCGTACATCCATGGATGAGCCAGTCACACTTCATATGCAATGTAGGCAATGGGATGGTAGCTAGCTAAGTGCACAGACGCAATCTACACAACACTAAATACATCCTCCAAGCTAGTATTGACATTATAATTAAATCACAATGGATTAGCTAGTTTCTATGAAACAGCTGCCTGTGTTAGCTGGTCCTAAGGAGTGTCCTTAGCTAGCTAGCTAGCTAGCTAGCTAGCTAGCTAGATATGTTGTGCTATCTAGCGAATATGCTAATGTTAGCTAGCTAGCTAAATATTTGGCTATGGGCTGGCACTGGCAGTATGGGGTTATGGAGAGTGAATTAAATTGTTTCTTGCTGTGGCCATCTGGCTGGTATAAATAATGGCTTTCTACAAAATAGCAACATTATCGCAGATCGCTTGCTATCTTGACCATAAGCAATACGCACGGATATGTAATGCCAAATAACACTACTGCCACGTTCTGGTTTGGAGTATTTTAACAAGGTGTTAAAACTGTTTGATGACTTCCAAAGTCTTTGCTGTGTGAACACAAAAGAGATTGACTGCGGACACTGTTCAGAGGTGCTAAGGACTGTCGGCATTTGTGGTCTCTCTTGATTAGTTATTAGAGAGATCCAAGAGATACACAGAATATATTAATTATATATACCATTTAGCAGATGCTTTTATCCAAATCAACTTAGTCATGCGTGCATACATTTTACATATGGGTAGTCCCGGGAATCGAACCCACTACCCTGGCGTTACAAGCGCCATGCTCTACCAACTGAGCGACATCTGAGCTAAATTGTATGCTTATTACTAGATAGATTTAATTGTTTGTGATCTAGCTATGTTTGTGATGCTATGTTTGTGATCTATTTAGAGGCTCACTTGATAAAGTTCCCAACTCTCATGAATATTCAAATGTCTGACAAAGAGAAGGCAGACAAACACTGTTCAAACAAATTGGCCTCCCAGAAAAACATCCAGAATGATCTGTGCCAAATTGATTAATTCAAGAAAGTGGTTGCACAACTCCTAATTAGTTTACCCTCGCTTATTTGATTTAAATCACAAAAGATGTCATAACTTCTCTCCCTTTTCCCCTTTCATTCAGGGTGGAGCTATTTCCATTCTGACGGCGTGTGAACGACCAAATGACTTTGCCGGCGTGGCTCTGATCGCTCCTATGGTCAAGATGAACCCAGAATCTGCCACGCCCTTCAAGGTGGGTTTCACCCATAGAAATATGCTTTACTTGCTGTCCACCCATCACCCACCCAATAACTTGAATGGGGATGCCCGTTCTATGGTTTCACCTGCACCCAGTCCCTTCTCATTTAGCGAGTCACCAATGTCTACAGCTCCATGCAGCTCAGTACCATACCATTAGTTCTTACAACTACTAAACCACTGACCAGAGCTGTATTAGTTCCCTACATGCCTTTGTAATCGCTGTGGATATTCCTCTTTGTTGTCTACAGGTGTTCCTGGCTAAAGTCCTAAATCACATGGTGCCTAGTCTCTCTCTGGGCTCTATTGAGTCTAAATGGGTTTCACGGGACCAAAAACAGGTGAGACTGATCTATGGAATGTGTGTGTGCGTGAATGCTTGCGTGTGTGTACGTACATCCGTGCGCAAATACATTAAGCAGATGTTTAGGTTGTAGAAGTTAGGGTTAAAGAGTTTATTTAGTCACAAGGGACAACATGGTTGAATGAACAAAGAGAGGTGGAGATAAGTGGATAGGAGCCCATATGTCTGGGTTTGTGTGTTGTGTATGATTTGGCGTTTCAAAGGCTGTTCCACAATAGAGGCTTGACTGAGATCCAGGCCTAGGGATTTCTCATGTTGTCCAGCTCTCTGTTTACACCCAAAGCTACCCTTAAAAACAAGGGAAGCAACAGACAACAATGGGTGTCGGGCTCTCACCCCTCCCTCCCTTCACTACCTGTTCTGTTGAGGAAGTGCACTTATCACAACAAAGGCAGGTGCAGGTCTAGAGTGTCAAGCTTCGAGACAGAAAAGAGGTCATGAGAGTGTTATATGAGGGTGTTGCAGTTCCCCATTTGTTAATTATTCAAAGCACCAGCATATGGCCTTCGATACACTTCAGCAGTGAGTGTTAAATACTGTACATTGAATGGATTCAGGCCAGATCTTGTACAGTAGTATTTGCATGATGGGTCAATATTGAGAAAGCCAAGTACCCTGTGGGATACTATCAGTGAACGTCTAAAGGAAATTAAACATGCTCAGTGGTACTCAACGTTCCCTTCCTTTACCCTGCAGGTTGAGGCATATGACAATGATGAGTTGAACTATCACGGTGGGATGCGTGTGTCATTTGGCATGCAGCTGATGGGCGCGGCGGCGCGGATCGAGAGAGAGGTCCCTACCATCACCTGGCCCTTCCTGCTTCTCCATGGCGACGACGACAAGCTGTGTGACATTAGAGGGTCTCAGATGATGTTTGACATGGCCCAGAGCACGGACAAGAAGATTAAGGTGGGACCAGCACCAGAGACATACAGTACCAGTCAAAAGTTTGAACACCTACTCATTCCAGAGTTTTTCTTTATTTTTACAATTTTCTACATTGTAGAATAATAGTGAAGACATCAAAACTATGAAATAATACATATGGAATCATGTAGTAACCAAAAAAGTGTTAAACAAATCAAAATATATTTTATATTTGAGATTATTCAAAGTAGCCACCCTTTGCCTTGATGACAGCTTTGCACACTCTTGGCATTCTCTCAACCATCTTCATGAGGTAGTCACCTGGAATGCATTTCAATTAACAGGTATGCCTTGTTAAAAGTTAATTTGTGGAATTTCTTTCCTTCTTAATGCATTTGAGCCAATCAGTTGTGTTGTGACAAGGTAGGGTTGGTATACAGAAGATAGCTCTATTTGGTAAAAGACCAAGTCCATATTATAGCAAGAACAGCTCAAATAAGCAAAGAGAAACAACGGTCCATTATTACTTTAAGACTCAAGTGCAGTCGCAAAAACCATCAAGCGCTATGATGAAACTGGCTCTCATGAGGACCACCAAAGGAAAGGAAGACTCTGCTGCAGAGGATAAGTTCATTAAGAGTTACCAGCCTCCGAAATTGCAGCCCAAATACATGCTTCACAGAGTTCAAGTAACAGACACATCTCAACATCAACTGTTCAGAGGAGACTGCGTGAATCAGGCCTTCATGGTCGAATTGCTGCAAAGAAACCACTACTAAAGGACACCAATAATAAGAAGAGACTTGCTTGGGCCAAGAAACACGAGCAATGGACATTAGACGAGTGGAAATCTGTCCTTTGGTCTGATGAGTCCAAATTTGAGATTTTTGGTTCCAACCGCTGTGTCTTTAAGAGACGCAGAGTGGGTGAACAAATGATCTCCGCATGTGTGGTTTCCACCGTGAAGCATGGAGGAGGAGGTGTTATGGTGTGGGGGTGCCTTTCTGGTGACACTGTCTGTGATTTATTTAGAATTCAAGGCACACTTAACCAGCATGGCTACCACAGCATACGCCATCCCATCTGGTTTGTGCTTAGTGGGACTATCATTTGATTTTCCAACAGGACAATGACCCAACACACCTCCAGGCTGTGTAAGGGCTATTTGACCAAGAAGGAGAGTGATGGAGTGCTGCATCAGATAACCTGGCCTCCACAATCACCCGACATCAACCCAATTGAGATGGTTTGGGATGAGTTGGACCGCAGAGTGAAGGAAAAGCAACAAGTGCTCAGCATATGTGGGAACTCCTTCAAGACTGTTTGAAAAGCATTCCAGGTGAAGCTGGTTGAGAGAATGCCCAGAGTGTGCAAAGCTGTCATCAAGGCAAAGGGTGGCTACTTTGAAGAATCTCAAATATAAAATATATTTTGGTTTTAATACTTTTTTGGTTACTACATGATTCCATATGTGTTATTTCATAGTTTTGATGTCTTCTATTATTCTACAATGTAGAAAATAGTAAAAAGGTTTGACTGGTACTGTATATTTAGATCAAATATATTTAAATACATATATAATATGGTCAAATATGTCTCTGACTAGCACTGCACACAGGCCAAAACCAGACATTTCAACAGATGTGAATAGCTCAGACACAAAATCATACAAACTGATATAGACAAGCCAGTATATTTAGAAAGTACACCATCTTATCTGCTCTTGAACATTCTGTATTTGTTTCACTGGCTGTTCCAAGGGGGAGAATAGAGAGGGGGGAACAGAGAGGGGGGGGGGCAGTGAGAATGAGAGGGGGGGGGGCAGTGAGAATGAGAGGGGGGGGGCAGAGAGTGTGAGAGGAGGGGAACAGAGAGAGTGAGAGGGGGGGGAACAGAAAGAGTGAGAGGGGGGGGAACAGAAAGAGTGAGAGGGGGGGAACAGAAAGAGTGAGAGGGGGGGAACAGAAAGAGTGAGAGGGGGGGAACAGAAAGAGTGAGAGGGGGGGACAGAAAGAGTGAGGGGGGGAATAGAGAGAGAGAAAGAGGAACAGAGAGAGAGAGAGGGGAACAGAGAGAGAGAGGGGAACAGAGAGAGAGAGAGACAAACTCTTTGAATTGAATTGATGGGGGAACAGAGCGAGTGAGGGGGGAACAGAGCGAGTGAGGGGGGGAACAGAGCAAGTGAGAGGGGGGAACAGAGCGGGGGAGGGCAGAGAGAGAGAGGAGGGGAACAGCGAGAGAGGGAAGAGAGAGAGAGAGGAACAGCGGAACAGGGGGAATAAACAGAGAGAGAGAGAGGGGGGAACATAGAGAGAGAGAGAGCACTGTATATATACATAATATGACATTTGAAATGGCTTTATTCTTTTGGAACTTCTGTGTGTAATGTTTACTGTTAGTTTTTATTGTTTATTTCACTTTTGTTTACTATCTACTTCACTTGCTTTGGCAATGTTAACATACGTTTCCCATGCCAATAAAGTCCTTAAATTGAAATTGAATTGAGAGAGAGAGAGAGAGGGGGGAACAGAGAGAGAGCGAGCGAGAGGGGACAGAGAGGGGGGGACAGAGAGAGAGAAGGGGGGGGCAGCGAGAGAGGGGGAACAGAGAGAGAGGGGAACAGAGATTCATCAAAACAGGAACATTTTACATTTGGCTAGAAATTCAAAAGGAAATAATAATAATATGCCATTTAGCAGACGCTTTTATCCAAAGCGACTTACAGTCATGCGTGCATCATTTTTTTTTGTGTATGGGTGGTCCCGGGGATCGAACCCACTACCTTGGCGTTACAAGCGCCGCGCTCTACCAGCTGAGCTACAGAGGACCACATGATCTCAACAGAGAAAAATGTCCTCCTGTGTGCTACCTATATCCCCCCACTAGAATCCCCATACTTTAATGAAGACAGCTTCTCCATCCTGGAGGGGGAAATCAATCATTTCCAGACCCAGGGACATGTAGTAGTCTGTGGCGACCTAAATGCCAGAACTGGACAAGAACCTGACACCCTCAGCACACAGGGGGACAAACACCTACCTGGAGGTGACAGCATTCCCTCCCCCATATGCCCCCCTAGGCACAACCACGACAACATAACCAACAAAAATGGGTCACGACTCCTGCAGCTCTGTCGCACACTGGGTATGTACATAGTCAATGGTAGGCTTCGAGGGGACTCCTATGGTAGGTACACCTATAGCTCATCTCTTGGCAGTAGTACTGTAGACTACTTTATCACTGACCTCAACCCAGTCTCTCAGAGCGTTCACAGTCAGCCCACTGACACCCTTATCAGACCACAGCAAAATCACAGTCTACTTGAACAGAGCAATACTCAATCATGAGGCATCAAAGCAAAAAGGAACTGAATAATATTAAGAAATGCTATAGATGGAAGGAAAGTAGTGTTGAAACCTACCAAAAAACAATTAGGCAACAACAAATTCAATCCATTCTAGACAACTTCCTGGACAAAACGTTCCACTGTAATAGTGAAGGTGTAAACTTGGCAGTAGAAAACCTAAACGGTATATTTGACCTCTCAGCTTCCCTATCAAATCTAAAAATCTCTAACAGAAAACCGAAGAAAAGTAACAACAGTGATACATTGTTTGATGAATAATGCAAAAACCTAAGAAAGAAATTGAGAAACCTATCCAACCAAAAACATAGAGACCCAAAAAACCTGAGCCTATGCCTTCACTATGGTGAATCACTAAAACAATACAGAAATACACTACAGAAAAAGAAGGAACAGCATGTCAGAAATCAGCTCAATGTAATTGAAGAATCCATAGACTCTAACCACTTCTGGGAAAATTGGAAAACACTAAACAAACAACAACACGAAGAACTATCTATCCAAAACGGAGATGTATGGGTAAACCACTTCTCCAATCTTTTTGGCCCTATAACAGAGAACAAACAGCAAAAAAATATACATGATCAAATGCAAATCTTAGAATCAACTATTAAAGACTACCCGAACCCAATGGATTCTCCAATTACATTGAATGAACTACAGGACAAAATACAAACCCTCCAACCCAAAAAGGCCTGTGGTGTTGATGGTATCCTCAATGAAATGATAAAATATACAGACCACAAATTTCAATTAGCTATACTTAAACTCTTTAACATCCTTAGCTCTGGCATCTTCCCCAATATTTGGAACCAAGGACTGATCACCCCAATCAACAAAAGTGGAGACAAATTTGACCCCAATAACTACCGTGGGATATGCATCAACAGCAACCTTGGGAAAATCCTCTGCATTATCATTAACAGCAGACTAATTCATTTCCTCAGTGAAAACAATGTACTGAGCAAATCTGAAATTGGCTTTTTACCAAATTACCGTACGACAGACCACGTATTCACCCTGCACACCCTAATTGACAAACAAACAAACCAAAACAAAGGCAAAGTCTTCTCATGCTTTGTTGATTTCAAAAAAGCTTTTGACTCAATGAGGGTCTGCTATACAAATTGATGGAAAGTGGGGTTGGGGGAAAAACATACAACATTATAAAATCCATGTACACAAACAACAAGTGTGCGGTTAAAATTGGCAAAAAACACATTTCTTTCCACAGGGCCGTGGGGTGAGACAGGGATGCAGTTTAAGCCCCACCCTCTTCAACATATATATCAACTAATTGGCGAGGGCACTAGAACAGTCTGCAGCACCCGGCCTCACCCTACTAGAATCTGAAGTCAAATGTCTACTGTTTGCTGATGATCTGGTGCTTCTGTCACCAACCAATGAGGGCCTACAGCAGCACCTAGATCTTCTGCACAGATTCTGTCAGACCTGGGCCCTGACAGTAAATCTCAGTAAGACAAAAATAACGGTGTTCCAAAAAAGGTCCAGTTGCCAGGACCACAAATACAAATTCCATCTAGACACCGTTGCCCTAGAGCACACAAAAAACTATGCATACCTCGGTCTAAACATCAGCACCACAGGTAACTTCCACAAAGCTGTGAACGATCTGAGAGACAAGGCAAGAAGGGCCTTCTATGCCATCAAAAGGAACATCAAATTTGACATACCAATTAGGATCTGGCTAAAAATACTTGAATCAGTTATAGAACCCATTGCCCTTTATGGTTGTGAGGTCTGGGGTCCGCTCACCAACCAAGAATTCACAAAATGGGACAAACACCAAATTGAGACTGCATGCAGAATTCTGCAAAAACATCCTCTGTGTACAACGTAAAACACCAAATAATGCATGCAGAGCAGAATTAGGCCAATACCCGCTAATTATCAAAATCCAGAAAAGAGCCGTTAAATTCTATAAAAACTTAAAAGGAAGCGATTCCCAAACCTTCTATAACAAAGCCATCACCTACAGAGAGATGAACTTGGAGAAGACTCCCCTAAGTAAGCTGGTCCTGGGGCTCTGTTCACAAACACAAACAGACCCCACAGAGCCCCAGGACAACAACAACAACAACAACAACAGGGGAGGGAATGGCCGGCAGGGATGTAGAGCATGGCATTTGCAACGGCAGGGTTGTGGGTTCGATTCCAGTATAAAAATAAAATGTATGCACTCACTAACTGTAAGTCGCTCTGGATAAGAGCGTCTGCTAAATGACTAAAATTGTCACGATCGTTAACGGAAGATACGGATCAAGGCGCAGCGTGATAAGCGTACATTTTATTAAGTACTTAACACGACACAAAACAAACGATACGTGAAGTCCTAGGTTACACAAAACAAACCTTTACGGAACAAGATCCCAACACCGACTAGTGCCAAACAGGCTGCCTAAGTATGGTCCCCAATCAGAGACAACGAGATACAGCTGCCTCTGATTGGGAACCACCCTGGCCAACATAGATCTAAACGATCTAGAACATCAACATAGAAAATATGACATAGAAACTCCACACCCTGGCTCAACATTTAAGAGTCCCCAGAGCCAGGGCGTGACAGTACCCCCCCCCCCCCCAAAGGCGCGGACTGTGACCGCGCCACACAAACACAACAGGGTAGGGGCCGGGTGGGCATTCCGCCTCGGAGGTGGATCCGGCTCCGGGCGTGACCACCACTTTCTCTCCACCTCCCCGTTGCGCCCCTCGTCTGGTCTGGCACCGCTGACTGGAGCCGGACCCGATGACGGTGGATCGATCTGTACAGGCTCCGGACTGGAGCCGCTGGCCGGAGCTGGACTGGGCACCGGTGGAGCGGATTGCTCTGGCTCCGGAGTGGATCCGCTGACAGGAGTTGGACCAGACCCCGGTAGAGCGGATTGCTCTGGCTCCGTAGTGGAGGCAGGCACGGGCCGTGCCGGACTGGACACACTGGCTTGGTGCGGGGAGCAGGAGTGGGCCGGACCGGGCTGATGACGCGCACCACTGGCTTAGTGCGGGGAGCAGGAGCGGGCCGGACCGGGCTGACGACGCGCACCACTGGCTTGGTGCGGGGAGCAGGAACGGGCCGCACCGGGCTGACGACGCGCACCACTGGCTTGGTGCGGGTAGCAGGAACGGGCCGGACCGGGCTGACGACCCGCACCACTGGCTTGGTGCGGGGAGCAGGAACGGGCCGGACTGGGCTGGCGACGCGCACCACTGGCTTGGTGCGGGGAGCAGGAACGGGCCGGACCGGGCTGGCGACGCGCACCACTGGCTTGGCGCAAGGGACAGGAACAGGCCGGACCGGGCTGGCAACGCGCACCACTGGCTTGGTGCGAGGGACAGGAACAGGCCGGGCTGGACTGGGAACACGCTCCACTGGCTTGGTGCGGGGAGCAGGAACAGGCCGGACCGGGCTGGCGACGCGCACCACTGTCTTGGTGCGAGGGGCAGGAACAGGCCGGACCGGGCTGGCAATGCGCAC